ATAGCTTAATAAGCGATGGTATCCTAATATATTATACTCCACCCGGCCACTCCGAGATAAATGGCTATACCGAGAGATCTAGCGGTATAATCATTACTTATATACGGATACTCACCCTCGAAGGGAAGCTTCCTAAAGATCTATAGCTAGAATTTATAAGCGCCGCCGTATGGTTATTAAACCGTACACTATTATATATTGCTTCCGAGAATAGGTGGTTAATACTATAGGAGGAAGTGAGAAAGGAATTTACGCTAGTAAGGCCGAGGATTAACCTAGTAAATGTTAGGTTGTATAGAAGCCTAGCATACTATAGGATTGAAAAGTAAGTGTAGTTAGATAAGATGAATCCTCGTATAGAGGTTGGCTTCTTGGTTAGATATCTCGCTTCTAACATTTATAAGATCTGGTTTCCACACACTAGTAAGGTGAAGTATATTAGAGATATAGTTATTAATAAAGGCCGTAAGTACTCACCCGAGTATAAGAGATCTTAACTAGTTCCACTACCACTAGTGAGAGAACTAGAAGAGCTCACCGTTGAAGAGATCACCTAGGTGATTAACTATAAGATTACTAGTTAAGAAGAGACTAGTATACCGGAATAAGATAACTAGCAAGATCACGAGGTAGAGGATGATCCCTAAGGTAGAATACGGGAAGTAAGTGACGCCGTTAATATATAACGGGATACCACCCCATTTTAGGGGGTGAATAAGGAAGTATATCTACTAACACCGAGCGCTCTATATATAGCGTAAACGGGTGAAATGCTTTATAAAAAGGATTAGGAAGATCCACCACCGCGTATAGCACTACCGGGTGCTTTTCCGGATGACTAGGACCCACTACCACTAATCACGCCGCCGTAAGAAGCGAGTACTAGTCCTAGTCAGGGGGTGGATATATATGATCAAGATGATCAATTGCTAGCTAGGGACTAGGCCTAGCAGCATGAAAATGAAGCTATTCCCATTGAAGAAGACGAGCTAGAAAGACAGCTCTAGGCAGAATTGCTAGCACTAAGCCTAGCACTAAGTAGGGAGATCACTAGCAATGTAGATGCCGGCAATATACTAAGTGGTCGTCGAACATGTAGAGCAAGACAAGATGATGATTTTATATATACAACCACTATAGTATAGGATGAAGAGCCACCGGCTCTACTATATGCTTTCGTAGCTAGCTTATACGCCGAGAAACCAGGCATTCGACGCCATCGAGACGATCTCCTACCACCACCAAAGTACTAGAAAGATGTTATAAACCATCCGTTTTAGGGAGGCTTTCTTATAGCAATAAGGAAAGAGATCAACTCCTTAAGTGCGAAGGAGACATTTGAAGTGATTAAGAAACCAAGGGACCGAGGAAAGTAGATCCTCCCCTTACTATAGGTTTTCTTATACAAATTTGACTAGGACGGTTACCTTCTAAAGCTAAAGGCCCGTATCTATATATATGGAGATCTTAAAACGATTTCGTATAAAGAGAAGAGAGCCGCTACGCTAGTAGTAAGGATAGCGAGGATGATCTTTGTGTTACGCACTGCTAACTAGTCATAGTTAGGTTAGAAGGTTTCCAGGTTATACTTGCCTTATGCTTCTCAGGTTTCCAACGTCAACGATCTGTACTCTCAACCGTACTGTTGCCTAATAGGCCTTACTATAGGATGGGTCCTATTGAGGTATCGAGGAACGATGCTAGGTAGAGCGCCGAGTAGATCTATACCGGAGTATTGGTCTGCTCGTGAGTGTTGTCAAGTTATAATCAAGTTAAAGAGTCACTGAAGTTCTAAAGGTATATATAAGTAACAATATATGATTGAAGACGAAGAACTAAACTAGATATATGAATGAGTGTCCTTATATATCCCTAAGTTCTTCCTATATAGAATGGTAGATTATAGATAAGTAGAATCGCCTTAGTAGATTCTATTAGTCTACCGTTAACTATTCTACTACTTATATGATCACGTGACGGCTTCCGTTAGTGGCAGAGGTTTGCTAGTCTATATAGGTATATATATACCGGATATCCTCTAGAAGTAGGTCCTACTTAGGGCTAATCATACTCTTACTCACTAAGTATAATCATAGTTTCTCTTTTCCCTAATCACCCGGGTATCCTAGAGTATAGGATAGTACACATGATCTAATGATAGATCGTTCGGTTGGCTCTTAGTGGCCTATTAGTAGTTATAGTCCCTATAACTAATTAGTGACTAGTATATCCGTAATATTACCTCCCCTCTTCCTAGGAGTTTCGTCCCTAAGACTTATAAATCTACGGTTCCCCCTTAGGTAGGTGATAGATTTTTCTTTTCTTAAAATAATACGCCCTCGTTATACCTAAATGTAAGGCTGACTCCGTTTCTAAGCTTACTCCTTCTAGGAGGTTATAGGGGTTAGATGGTAGGAAAGAAAAACTAAAGATGAAAGGTAAGAAAGTAAAGAGATAAAAAGTTGTATTTAGTTAATTGAAGTATATTCAATATAAAGAAGATATTAACCGTGTTGTAAAAAGATTATTATCTCGGTGGTTATAGTCTTATTTATCTCTTTTGAAAATAGATCTAGATAGATCTAATTAAATGTGTTATCGTCATAATGATAGATTTAAAATGCATTGTATAGTTATATTATTAAATCATATGTAATGTTGCATTTTAATAAATTCATATATGGTTTATATTTATTAAATCATTATTTGTAATGTTGCATTTTAATAAATGCATTGTATGGTTATATTGTAATGTTGCATAATGCATTGTATGTTCATATTATATTTTACATTGTATGGTTATATTATTAAATCATTATTTGTAATGTTGCATTTTTAAACTAAAATGCACTGTATAGTTTAAATCACTTACATGTTATATTAATAGGATTATAATAGTAGAAGTATTAACTTTTAAATATGATACTCCTAGACTTCCTTCTAATTCCTCCGACGCTCACTAATATCAAGCAACCTATATTAAGGATAATAGTTTTACCACCGCTATTTCTTATAATCATTATAAAACGGCTAGTATGGCTTACTTAATAGATCGATCTCGTTATTATTCGAAATATACGTCTTATACTAGACAACAACTTGGGCTTACCAAATGGCCGCCATTTTCGGCCTCGAGTGACGCCTTTTTCGGCCGCCATCTGGTAACACGTGATGGCGCCGTCCCGACACGCCCACGTCTAGCTACCACCACGCACCAGTTAGACCCACTCGCAATAGACCCCTCGCCCCACCTACCTAGCCAGTTCTGTTCCTACACCTTAGCGAAGGCTAGTGTTGGCTCGGCGTTCGCGAAGGCGCTAAAAATGGCCTCACTATCTTAGCACCTGGTCAAGATGGTATCTACCCGCTATAGCCCCTTTCTCTTCCGTATATTTTCCTTGTTCCCCTAGCTTTCCCTCTCCCTCCACCGAGACTACTTCTTTGCCTATCGCCTATTCTCTTCTTTTCTTCGTGCTTCCTTAGTCTATCATTTCTGCTCGCCTAGCTATAAGTGTATAGTCCTAAAAAAATTAGTCACCGACCGTCTACTCGTGACCTACCAGCCACTTTATTATCTCGCGGTCTTATAGTCTTATTTCTCTACCTCCGCACCCTCGCCGTCCCTTTAATTCCGCCGAGTTCGACGATAAAGCGTTCTCGACGCTAGCAGACTAGAAAGCTAGAAAGCGATTCTAGCGAGGATAACATTATTAGGGCTACTTCTAGCGATTTAGAGCGGAGCGATACTATATATAAGACGGATCTAACGGAGCTAGAAGACGTTTCTAGCCCACGAAAACGTCTCCGACCCGACGACAACCTTACCTTAGAGCTGGAGGTCTCTTATAACGCTAGAGATCTCTACGAGGACCTACTAGATGAGGGTGGGGTTAATCTCTCTAAAATCCCCGAGGATGTTACGGACATGCTAGTCACCAATCAGTTGTGGGGACCGCAACTACTGATGGGCCACCGAGAGCCAACCGAACGATCTGTCATCAGATCACGTGCACCATCCTATACTCTGGGATACCCGGGCGTTCAAGGAAAAGAGAAACCGTGATCATGCTCAGTGAGCAAGAGCATGATCAGCCCTGAGCGGGACCCACTTCCAGAGGATATCCGGTACATATGTACCTATATGGACTAGCAAACCTCTGCCACCAACGGAAGCCGTCACGTGATCATGTAAGTAGTAGAATAGTTAACGGTAGACTAATAGAATCTACTAAGGCGATTCTACTTATCTATAATCTACCATTCTATATAGGAAGAACTTAGGGATATATAAAGACACTCATTCATATATCTAGTTTAGTTCTTCGTCTTCAATCATATATTGTTACTTATATATACCTTTGGAACTTTAGTGACTCGTTACTTGATTATAACTTGATAACACCTACGAGTAGACTAATACCTCGGTATAGATCTCCTCGGCGCTCTACCTAGTATCGTTCCTCGATACCTTAATAGGACCTATCCTATAGTAAGGCCTATTAGGCAATAGTACGGTTGAGAGAACAGATCGTTGACGTTGGAAACCTAAGAAGTATAAGGCAAGTATAACCGAATCCTTCTAACCTAACTATGACTAGTTAGTAGTGCGTAACACATTAAAGACTGTCTCGAATCAAGCTTCGAGTCACTACACGATAAACATATCTCACGTTAGTTCGGGCAAGAAGCCTATTAGGGAGCAGGCTACTCCACCTCAAGATGAACCTAACTCCGACATCGAGCGAGACAACACTATCGCTAAGTAGAAGAAGAAGATCAGCGAACTAGAGCATAATATCAAGAAGATGATAAGTCAACTATCCGACTTAGGCGAACGAAGCGGCACTAAGTTCGGCGAGGTAGACGAGTACCTCGAGCAAATCAAGTCTTAAGTTATCGCCTCCGCACCCGCTAGCTCTGTCTAGGCACCACGACTACCCAAGGCTAAGTGTTTTAAAGGAAACCGAACTAAGCTTCGAGGGTTCCTCACTCAGATAGACATGTATCTCGATATAAATCAAACTAAGCTACCCACCGAAGCCAGTAAGGTGATCTTTATATCAACCTACTTACGTGGCCAGGCATAGGGCTGGTTCGAACCATATATTCGAGACTACTACGAGAAAGAACCTAGCGAGTGGTTAACCACCACTACCGAAGTCTTCGGAGGATACTATAACTTCCGCAAGCACCTTAAGCGAACATTCGGAGACATCGACGCAGCGAGAACGGCTGAGCGTAAATTGCAGAAAATCAGGCAACAGACCAGCGCATCGGTGTACGCCTCCGAGTTCCAGCAAATCATTTCGTATCTAGATCTGCCCGATCGAGCGTATATTCCGTACTTCGAGGCAGGACTCAAACCCGATGTCAAGGACGAACTGGCTAGGATCGATAGGCCAGATACCCTAGACAAACTCATTAAGATCGCGGTCAAGATCGACAACCGCATCAACGAACGAAAGTACGAACGACGAGAAATGGATTAGTGGAAGCGCGGTAAAACGCACGGCTTCAACCGATTCAGTGGACGCCGCGATAGGGCACCACCACGAGAATCTAGAAAGGACTACCTAAGAAAGGAAACCTTGGAAGATCTCTTGGCAAAATTGGAAAACCTAAGCCCAGAAGAGATAATAGCGGGCAACCTATACATTAAAGGGTTAGCCGACGAGTAGTATATCGATTACCTAGAGATCGATTGGGATATAGTGGAGAGTCAAGGATAGACATAACACGTCCCTTAGAACTAGAGTTATGACTCAGCGGGTTATGAACCCCAAGAGGACGCTAGTTGGCAGCCCTAGGGCTCGCTAGGTCTATAGGCCGCGGACGTACGACTAGACGGGTCCTAGGACCACCACAGACTCTAGGAGTCAGATATAGGGCTCCTAGGAACACTAGTCACGTTCCCCGGAACCACCGTTGACCTAAGAACGCTAAGCACGTCCCTAGGAATAGACTAAGTGATCCTAGAAACACCACTAGAAAGTCCTAGGAACCATCGTCAACTAAGTAACGATGAAGAAGCCGATAAGCTTATTAGTCATCTCTAGGGTGAGACTTAGACTAGCAGGTTGGACTAGCACCTTATTGTAGCAATTAAGGAAGGCGACGACCCAATAGGATGCCCTTACGAAGATTCCACTTACGCGTGTAAAGGATATACACGACACCTAGGGCATAGCAGAATGGCTAGCATTATATACTACGACGAAACGTGTATAACCTATAGGTCAGTAAAGTTAGATTACGGCATCGAACTAAGACCACTACGGTGGATAAAGAAGCTATAATAGAAACAAGTTTACTAAGGGATTTAGTATAACGGAAGACAACTATACGATTACGATAATCGTCTAATAACGTAGTTAGCTACAACCTTATTAGGAACTCATATCAAACTATTCGTGATCTTACCTATAGGAAAGGCGTGGACCCTAATCGACTTAGGTGCCACCAATAACTTTATAAACCTAAGTTTTTAGGAAAACCGATAAGTATCAACCAAAAAGTTGTTATAAGTGATACTAGTTTTAGGGCTCGATAGAGAAGTTCTCTCTAGAGGAGTTAGCGAAGAAACTATCACCCTACCTATATCTATCTACGGACACCTAGAATTAATTAAGTTCAATGTCTTAGAGATAGGAGACTACGACATCGTTTTAGGCATCCTATAGCTTAGGAAGCATAACCCGAGTATCGATTGGCAAACGGGACGTATCGCATTTAATAGATACGAGTGCGTAAAACAATACGACGAGTACGAGACACGTCGGAAGAAGTCTGCCTAACGAACCAATAGTAATAACAACTAATCCCGTAAGAAAAGGGCTAGGGTGTTAGCCACGGGCGTTACCCTAGACACGATAGAATAGTCACTAAATATATCCGACCACGAATTAGCGGAGTATATGATTATTAAACACGAAAAGCTGTATATAACTAGCGATAAACCTAGGATTCTAGACGAATACCGGGAGTTTAGAGACGTCTTTACGGCACTAGCCGACGGAGTGCTACTAGAACACGGGATCTTTAACCACGAGATTAATACGATAGAGGGTATAGAACCTACTTTTAGGCCTATCTATCAATTATCTTAGAAAGAATCCGGAGCACTTAAGGATTATATCGACGAAAACCTATAGAAAGATTATATCCGCGCCTCTAAATCACCGGTAGGATACCCGATTATCTTCGTACCGAAGAAGGATAGGAGTCTTCGACTCTATATAGACTATCGATATCTAAATTCGATTACTATCAAGGACCGACACCCCCTACCCTTGATTCACGAGATTTAGGATCGGATTCAAGGAGTAAAGTACTTTTCGAAGTATAACATTACTAATACGTACCATCGCATTCGGATCAAGCTAGGCCATGAATGGAAAACGGCATTTAGAACTAAGTACGGGCACTACGAGTATATGGTTATACTATTCGGTCTTACTAACGCACTAGCCACCTTCTAGCGCTTTATCTTTAGCGCACTAGAAGAGTATCTCGATATCTTCGTTATCGCGTACCTAGATAATATCTTAGTATTCTCTAAAACGCTCGAAGAATATATCAAATATAATAAGCTGGTACTATATAAGTTGAGAGCTACGAAGGTCACTCTTAAACTCAAGAAATACGAGTTTTATATCTAGGAAACGGGATTCCTCGGATATCGTATCAGCCTAGACGGATTAGGTATAGAAGAGGATAAGGTCAAAAGTATTATAGAATGGCCTATACCTAGAAACGTCAAAGAAGTGTAATAGTTTCTTAGACTTACAAACTACTATCGGAAAATTATCGACGGATATACTGGTATAGCAACCGGACTTTACCGATTCACTAAGAAAGGACAAATATTTGTATAGGACGACGTAGTAGAAACCTTGTTTTAGGAACTAAAGAAGCTATTCAACAAACGAACAATTATGGCTACGTTTAACTACGACCTACTAATCGTGTTAGAAACGGACGCCTTAGACTATACTCTCGGAGCTAGACTAACTTAAGAAGAAAACGGGACTTCCCAACCGGTCGTATTCTAGTCTAGGAAGATAATCCCTATAGAACTTAATTACAATATACACGATAAGGAACTATTAGCTATAGTGTCAGCATTCTAAGTCTAGAGAGTATATCTAGAAGGAGTAAAACACACCGTGACGGTATGGACCGATTATAAGAATCTCACATTCTTTATAATAACAAAGATTCTTACACGACGATAAGCGCGATAGGCTGAAACACTTATATAGTACGATTTTAGAATCATACACTATAAGGGAATAGAGAATAGCTAAGCAGACGCTTTAAGCAGACGACCAGATTATAAGCTTGGCACTAAGGCAGCGGAACCCGCTATACTAAAACAAAACTAAGACGGAACTATCTTATATAACAAACAAATACTAGCTATAATAATCGAGGTTAAGGACAACGACCTATTATAACGGATTAAGGATGAATTGAAAGGAGACGTAATCTAATATCTTACTAGGATAGGCGACAAACTCGCCCTAGACGATAACGGATTATTCCATATATACGGATTGATATATATCCCAATAAAACTTAAAAACGAAGTGATTAAAAGATATCACGACGATATCATATATAGATATATAGGGGTAGAAAAGACTATCGAGCAGATCTCACGAAACTATTATTTTCCGAATATATATCGAAAGGTCCGATTCTACATTAGAGGATGCGATACGTGCTAAAGAAACAAGCTAGCACGACACACACCTTATAGGGAATTATAGTTATCTGAGACACTATCCCACCCTTAGGAATAGATCACTATAGACTTTATTATAAAGCTACTAGTCTTAGAAGGACACGATATAATTATGGTTATAGTCGATAGGCTCACGAAGTACGCCTATATGATCGCGACTATAGAAACCATTAACGCCGATTAAATGGCGAATATCGTGCTATAATATATAGTCGTAAACCACGGAATGCCGAGCAAGATTATATTAGATAGAGATAAGTTGTTTATATCGAAGATATAGCAATCATTTACGGATCAAATAGGTATTAAGCTTAGACTCTCTACTATATATCACCTATAAACTAACGGATAAACAGAAAGAGTGAACCAGACGTTAAAATAGTACCTACGCCACTACGTGAACTACTAGCAAGACGACTAGGCAGGACTATTACTAATAGCACAACTAGCATATAACAATGTAGTACACTCTACAACACGAGAATCACCGTTCTTCGCCAACTATAGGTACAACCCTATGATATTTAGAGAACCAATTAGTAAGACAGCCGTGGCGGAATCAGCAAGACTAAAGGCTAGCGGGCTAAAACAGTTATATCTATAACTATCTAGAGATATTAACTTCGTTAATCTACGTATAAAGAAGTACTACAACTAACAACACTAGGAGGGACCTAACCTAAAGAGGGGGGAAAAGGTTTATCTTTTACGCCGCAACATCAAAACCAAGCGACCTAGCAACAAATTGGACCACCTACGATTAGGACCATTCGAAATTGAAGAAAAATTGGGACCAGTTAATTATCGCTTAAGACTACTAGAAAGTATATAAAAACTCCATTTAGTGTTCCATATCTCGTTACTCGAACCCGCACTAAATAACGCTAAACTTACGACAAATGTGGAAATAGAGGAAGAAACCGAAAACGAATATAAGGTTAAGGAAATTCTAGAAATAAAACGGATAAGCGGAAAGCCTCACTACTTAGTGAGATAGAAGGGGTACGATACCTCTGAAAACACGTGGGAACCTATCGAGAATCTAAGGGGCTACCCCTAGCTAGTTTAATAGTTCTACTAACACTAGTAGCGGAGAAAGCCGGGCCGTCCCAGAAAGACACTAGAAGATCAGCAATCTCCGCTAGCATCTAATCAAAATTCGGATGCTTAGTAGTAGTAGTAAGCTGCTCGAACTCAAGAGTAGAGGAGGAAGACTACTCTAGGGACGTTTGTTTTTCATCGAGAATTTAAAGGAGTTCCGCGTTATATTCTAACATTTTAAAACCCTTTTATTTTAGGAAAGCCATCTACTTTCGTAGCCGACGTTATCGCGATATGGTTTCCTAGTATTGTTTTTATTTATTCAACACTTGCTAATATAGCTCTACGAGACGAGCCTACAATTCACCTAACTCGGGTTCCAACAAATCGAGTTCATTTTTATTTATTTTAAGGTCGGAAGAAAGTTTATCTTCGGCACGACGTAATAAATCCCACTCCCGACTAGTGTGGAAGTCACGCTTACACGTACGACCTACACGAGTGTAAGACGTATATTTCGAATAACAATGAGACCGATCCATCAAGCAAGCTACACCAGCCGTTTTATAATGATCGTAAGAAATGGCGGTGGTGAAACTATTATCCTCGATATAGGTTGCTTAACGTTAGTGAGCGTCGGAGGAATCAGAAGGAAGTCTGGGAGTAAGCTTAGAAACGGAGTCAGCCTTACGTTTAGGCATAACGAGGACGCATTATTTTGAGAAAAGAAAAAATCCATCACCTACCTAAGGGGGAACCGCAGATTTATAAGTCTTAGGGATGAAACTCCTAGGAAGAGGGGAGGTGATATTACGGATATACTAGTCACCAATTAGTTGTAGGGACCGTAACTACTAATAGGCCACCGAGAGCCAACCGAACGATCTATCATCAGATCACGTGCACCATCCTATACTCTAGGATACCCGGGCGTTTAAGGAAAAGAGAAACCGTGATCATACTTAGTGAGCAAGAGTATAATCAGCCCTAAGCGGGACCCACTTCTAGAGGATATCCGGTATATATATACCTATATAGACCAGCAAACCTCTGCCACCAACGGAAGCCGTCACGTGATCATACAAGTAGTAGAACAGTCAACGGTAGACTAGTAGAAACCGCCAAGGCAATTCTACTCATCTACAATCTACCATTCTATATAGGAAGAACTCAGGGATATATAAAGACACTCATTCATGTATCTAGTTTAGTTCTTCGTCTTCAATCATACATTGTTACTTGTGTATACCTTTGGAACTTTAGTGACTCGTTACTTGATTATAACTTGACAACACCTACGAGTAGACCAATACCTCGGTATAGATCTCCTCGGCGCTCTACCTGGCATCGTTCCTCGATACCTCAATAGGACCCATCCTGCAGTAAGGCCTGTTAGGCAACAGTACGGTTGAGAGAACAGATCGTTGACGTTAGAAACCTGAGAAGCATAAGGCAAGTATAACCGAATCCTTCTAACCTAACTGTGACCAGTTAGCAGTGCGTAACAGAGGATTTCGATAAAGCACCGGGTACTATTAAACGACGAGAGCGGATTAAGAGTTAGTGGAAAAGGTGAGTGACCTACTAGGTATATCGCTACTAGAGGTATTAATAGGGAGATTCCTAACGTAGGTATAGGTACTATATTAGCTAAGTGCGAAATAGGCCTAATAAGCTAAAATAGCGCGAGGTCGAGGAGGCGCTACGCTAGGCGTCGAATAATGATATATATCGTTTCCTACGCTAGTGTCTCTAGCTCGAGCGAGGCGAGGACGGTCGATATATAAAGGGCATTAATAAAGCTAGTACATTCGAGACCGATTAGAAAAACCTTCGCTATTACTATTAAAAGCTCACTAAGATTATAATTAATGATAAAGATAGCTTAGAGATACGAAGGGTTATTATACCTCTAAATTTATCCTAATCTAGCTTGATATCCTTGACTTACTATTGATTATAGGGTATAAAGTACTTAATCGTGGAGTTTAGCTTAGACACGTAGCCTAAAAAGGAGACGCCGGTTTATATCGAGGATATCGCCCCATTTAATAAAACGATCTTATCGATATAGGAAAAAAAGTTCCATCTAGGCTTCTAACGTATCTAAGTGTGTCTATTCAACTCCCTCGGTATCTTTACGTTATACCGGAAAAGCGCCCTATTAAGTCTATAGTTCTAAGACTTATAGATCTCCCTCTAGAAGGATCCTCGTGGGGGCCCACCCGTCCCTATAATCGAACTTACTCCTAAGGGAACTAAAAAATTCCTCGGTCAGACTAAATTATACGGCGAGCGTAATTTCTATCTCCCCCTCTCTTAGTTCCCCTAACTACCTCTAGATATATAATATCTCTTAAGATCCTTCTTATCGTCTCTAGGATTTCTAACTAGGGTCATATAGCTAACTAATCAATAGAACTACTTTTACACTTCCCGAGATCGTTTATAGGCCTTCTCTAGTGATATGCCCGTATATATTACTTTTTAGCATCCTATTTCACGCACGGGCGTTCCGGAATCAGGGGCTGACTTCGAAGACAGCTACGGAAACTTTTCATTAGTAAAGGCTATAAGTAGCTCCTAGTGCCTTTAGATCCGAAAAAGTCTAAATAGTATATCTTTTATAAAACGGAGTTAGTTAAGGGCGTTCCAACCATTCAACGGACTATACAGATGCCTAAGTCTTTAATATCTACCTTACTAGTTATATTTAGCGAGATTCGCGGATAGAAAGGGGCATTTTACGCCTATTAGTTCTAGTATAGAAGTGGTAAAGTGCTTAACGAGAGCGGTGAGTTCTTCTTTAGATACTTTGAATTTGATTTATCCTATTAAGTTGGTGGCTGATATAGTCCGTAGGGTGGGTGAGTAAGGAGTAACATATATTGATTATAAAATATGCTAGTCCCCGCACCTTTCTCAACCACTATCATCCCTTATAAATCGACACCGATATAATCCGAGTTATCTATAGCCTCGACCCGGCTATAGAACTGATACGAGCCGTCACCTAGTAAAGCCGTTAGTGAGACACGCGACGCCCACGCTACTTAACTTATTAATAAAGGGCGTAAGTTAAAGATCATCCCGAGTTGGAAGAGGCCTAGCGTAATCTAGGTAAGATACGCGCGTCTGGGAGGTTATAGGGGTTAGATGGTAGGAAAGAAAAACTAAAGATGAAAGGTAAGAAAGTAAAGAGATAAAAAGGTTGTATTTAGTTAATTGAAGTATATTCAATATAAAGAAGATATTAACCGTGTTGTTAAAAAGATTATTATCTCGGTGGTTATAGTCTTATTTATCTCTTTTGAAAATAGATCTAGATAGATCTAATTAAATGTGTTATCGTCATAATGATAGATTTAAAATGCATTGTATAGTTATATTATTAAATCATATGTAATGTTGCATTTTAATAAATCCATATATGGTTTATATTTATTAAATCATTATTTGTAATGTTGCATTTTAATAAATGCATTGTATGGTTATATTGTAATGTTGCATAATGCATTGTATGTTCATATTATATTTTACATTGTATGGTTATATTATTAAATCATTATTTGTAATGTTGCATTTTTAAACTAAAATGCATTGTATAGTTTTAATCACTTACATGTTATATTAATAGGATTATAATAGTAGAAGTATTAACTTTTAAATATGATAGCGCGTAATACGAAGAGACCTAGCAACCCGGCCTACTTCTCCGACTCTAGTAACGGGAGAAGGAGGTGAGAAATACGCGGAAAAGGCTATACTAGAGCTTATAGTATTAGATCTAGGAGAAATTTGATAAAGAGTAAGCCTTTTTAGATATTAAGGTATAGCTATCGGGTGCCGCGGTTAAGGAAGAGAGCGAAGACTCACCCTTAGAGGACACTATATACCCCCTTTAGTTATATCTCGTGTAGAGTCTTCTTTCCTACCCTATTTCTAACTCGTTAGAGGATGAGTGGTATCGGCGCGATACGGGTACTATAGCGGTTATCTAGTATTGTGACGTCCTTAAAGGAGGCCTATTAAGGGGCCGGCCTAAATAGAAAGCTCCTAAATCTACTTCGCCGACTAGACCGATACCTTAGCTAAAGGATTTATAGTAGACCCGAAATGATATCGACTTATATAAGGTACCTACCCCTATACGTGGTAAGCCGTTACGTACCACTAGGGAATACCTTAAAACTGCTAAGTAGCTAGAGGCATACTTTCAATGCTTCGTAAGTGAAGGGCTTCTAGATAAGGTTCGCTTTTAGATATTTTATAATCCTAGGTGTGTTACGCGCCACTTTGATACTATTTATCTTAAAGAAGAACCACTTAAATGCAACTAGTGTGAAGTAGGCTTACTATATCGAATGGCGTTCTAGCGCTATACTTCTAATATGTATCGTGTGCGGAGTCGCTAGCGATGCCCGAATCCGATATAGGGGTATCATATTTAAAAGTTAATACTTCTACTATTATTAGTATTATTATTAAGTAACATGTAAGTGATTTAAACTATACAATGCATTTTATTATAATCCTATTAATATAACATGTAAGTGATTTAAACTATACAATGCATTTTAAACTAAAATGCAACATTACAAATAATGATTTAATAATATAACCATACAATGTAAAATATAATATGAACATACAATGCATTATGCAACATTACAATATAACCATACAATGCATTTATTAAAATGCAACATTACAAAATAATGATTTCATAATATAACAATACAATGCATTTTAAATCCATCATTATGACGATAACACATTTAATTAGATCTATCTAGATCTATTTTCAAAAGAGATAAATAAGACTATAACCACCGAGATAATAATCTTTTTTACAACATGGTTTTAATCTTCTTTATATTGAATATACTTCAATTAACTAAATACAACCTTTTTATCTCTTTACTTTCTTACCTTTCATCTTTAGTTTTTCTTTCCTACCATCTAACCCCTATAACCTCCAAGAAGGGGCTTCAAAAACAAGAATAGGCCGGCCATAAATTAACGAAGCCATTAACTCGGTATCCGTTTACTTCTAATTTAGAATAGAATCGCATTTGCCGTATCTAGCGAGAATATAGACTAGAGAGGTTCTATACGAATCCCCCGCGCGAGGAGAACGAGCACGGGATAGTTGCCGAATTGGTAATAGCTCCTTATTACGGTTAGGATAATAAAGTGCTTTATAGCACTTAATGCTTTATATATGCTATCTTAGTTTTGTATAATCTAATCGGGTTATATATATATATACGATGAATCACGTAAAGTAGTGTCTAATCGTCTCTTAGTAGTAGCCCACTCGAACTATTAGCTCTTAGGTATATAATAAGCCTTATACCCTAACTCTAGCTTAGTTAGACTTCTACTTTCCTCCCACCTAGTCAACCTAGCACCTAGGTACACCTCTCTTCTTTTTAAGCTATAATGACTAGTCCGTTAAGCACGATTCTTATTAAAGATGACGAACTACCCCCGAGCTAGCGGCCAACCGATTCATAAGTCTAAAGAAGATCTCTATATATATCTCTTAGGATCCTAATCGAACCAACCGATACTACGAGTGGTAGTATAGAACTATTATATAAATGTAAAAGGGCTAAAGGAAAATAACGTGACACTCTAGTATAGCTTTTCTAAGACACTCCGATTTCCCGAGCTAATAATAAACTAGGATACCTATTTTAAGAAGCTATATAAGACACTTGACGAAGAAGTTAAAAGTCTCGATTAAGAAGTTGAAAAGCTATAAAAGTAAGTCTAGGAACTTTAGAGCAAGCTTCTCCTATAGGAAGAGCGGTATTAAGAGGAACTTTAGAGTAAACTTCTCCTATAGAAAGACTAGTATCAAGAGGAGCTTTCTCGAATACGTATTCTAAACTATGACATTTACTACGAGTAGCCGGATCGTTAGCATACGCGGGCATACGGACATTTGATTTATAAGGCATACGAAAAACGGCTTGATCGAGATCTATGCCCTATATATAGAAAAGAACTTTCGGGGTTTATTAAATGCTTTCTATTTATAGGATAGATGTGTATATATTTTCTACTTAAGACTAAATTTGAGGTCGACGCACTTAGTAATTTTACTCGAAATCCTCTTTTATCAGCTTAAGAATGATTGTGGTTTATAAACACTATGAAGTCTATAATATATAATCAGAGGATAAGGGTCGAGACTGTGTCAGTCGTGGACCCTCGGGTTATTTTTAACTTTCTCATCGATATCAACGTCGTCTAGCGGCTTAAGATTATCACTCTATATCTCATAGTTAGTTCGAAATCAATGGAATATTCTGGTTTTCTTACAATTTCATGAGGTGGCCAGATAATGTGAGATAATTGAACTTAAAGATTCAAATATTATGACAGGGGAATGGGTATATCTATATTGTAGAAGACGGGTATGCTTATGCACCTTACGCACCTTATCCACATTGCGCTTTTGCACCTTATAACCATTACGCTAATTTCTTATGTCCGGTTAACACCGCTAGAGTGGAAAATTATCGGTGTACAATATTTAGGATAATGGAATATTCTTAGGGCTCGAAAATTTCGGGCTATGGATTTTACAATCACTTGAATTATACCGCCTCTTAAAATTTGCGCGTTGCAATTTTCTTAAAGGTCAAATATTCCGAAAACAAAATTTTAAAGGGATCTTTTATTTAGGCTCACTTGAGATTTAAGCTCTTTAAAAGGGCTTTTGATAAGTTGTTGCCCTTCTTAGGTTTATGGCAAGCCATCAAACTGACCTATTTGCTCCTTCGCGTAAAATAGGGATAGTTAACTACGAGGTTCTTTGGGGGGCTGCGCCTTTTAGGCTGACACACTAAAACCATTGGCTAACTATAACTAACTATATCAGCGTATATTAGTTAGTGATTTCAATCTGATCTCTATATATACGGAAGATGGTATAGAGATCGCAGCACATTTAATTTATAAGCTCACCTTTATTTCTATATTGAACGAAAGACGGTCTGTTCTAACGATAAGTTTCGCGCTAGGAAACTTTTAAAGTCGGCATTCCGCATTAAAATCTCCACATTCTAGACTATGTAGTCTTATAGTATAACTTCTAAATTCCTTATATACTCACTATCCTTAAAAACAAATACTAATAGCTGAACGATATCTCCCGTTCGTTCTTCAAATAGAGTAAAATTCTTAAGCAATCGTAATAACCGATAGAAAGATAGGAGAATAAGAGAAAGCTAGCCTATTCTAAATCTAAAACGATAAATTTCGGCGTGACTCAGAAACACTACTATATAGCTCGTGAAAGGGTTATTGCTTAAGTCCTTCTTAGATCCTAATCGTGGTGTATGGCTAAGTTCTGCTAGTAGGATATCATAATTAAGTAAAAGCCCCTTTAGATAGAAGAGATTGAAATTTAGGCTAGAAGAATCCTATCTATTCGCCTCTTCCTAGTATTACGTTTCCCTATTTTCTAGCTACGGAGTACCGTTCCTAGAAGATTACGGAACGGGATATAGAGTAGAGTAATCCCTAGAGTATATAAACTCATAGTAACGACTAAAGACTTCCTTATCAATACTCTCGATTATCGCTAGCTTAAGGGCCTTTCTTAGAAAAGAACTTTCCAATGCCTAGTGAATTATGAACTACTTTTGGTTTTTACCAACAAAAAAATGAACGATATCAGATTATAGGACTCTACGCAATTGTTAGGAATTGGAACAATCTTTGTCTAAATGAGGGCAAACTTAATTATGATATACAAGCCGCATTATATAGAGAGTATTCAGAGATAGAAAGATATCTGTCAAAGGCGGCGGTATTTTTCAATTCAATAGTAGGATAGCAGAGAGCAAAGATTTCTTCGATATTCTTTTTCTAGAAGAGGATTCTCGTGGCTCTTTATAGTGATTGGCTTGGCCCTAGCTCTACTTTCAGTCACGGTCTAGCGTCCGTAGCGCTATTATATTGTCGCCCAATGAAAGCCACTGCAGAGACCCGCTCCTACAGCAAGCTAATAAGCCAATGAAATCAATCCTCACTGGCAGTGCATTGGGCCGTTCCCAGGAGTGATAGGGTAGCACGGACACATAAATTAGGCGTAGTAAAGATACGGCCAGTTAAGTCCAAGACCACTGTATTTGCGCGTCTTCACAAAATTAAGCATTGGGCCCCTCGCTCTCTTCTGGCGACGCATTCTCAATAGATTCATTGGATTCTTTCCATGCTCGCAAGGCTGCCAGTTCCTCCTCTGGAATCACTACATCCTTGTTCAAATGCTGGTGCAGGTCTTGGATCACACCCCCAATCTCAACATCCGACTTCTCGGTCGAACAAACAACGGTCACCGAGTACAAGGTTGCGTTCATACTGGTAATGCTGTAAACGTTTCCTCTCACATGATCGGCAATGCTGACGAACACATCGTCGATTGAAGCGGCGAACGTAGCTCCGATACCTCGAAATGTGGAATTGCCATGAATGTTGAGCCACGTCACGTGTACCAAAGGAGGACCAAGAAATGTATCTGTCCGGGTGTTTTGCCGGATTTCACCCGTCCTGGGATCCTGATATCTCCCATCCACGATAGGGACTTTATGTTCGGGGTGCCAGGGGGTCTGATATCTCATAATGGACGATAGCTCGACGGCTGTGAAGATTGACGTAGAGAGATACTTGAAAGACGCGTGTGGCTGGAATGGGATATCCGGAGATGTAATGTTTTGTGGGACTGAATCTCACCGAAATAAAATGAATGGGACCTTTGTTTTAAAGGTGGAAATGTGATTGCCTCGCGAGCTCGAAGTCCTTTGTGCTGTTATCTCTGTGGGTGTGTGTAAACAATCCACTTATCATTGACACAGAGCAAGGATTAAATCAAGATTCCTCGACTCGGGGCTAGCACCCCTGAAATGCAATGCTACCACGCATCACGAGGCCGTGAGTTGCCGCAGTCATATGTAACCACTCAAAGTACGGTTACATTCAACCTGACCGTACGGGGGTGCCCTTTTTCCTAAAGAGAAAAAGCTCCGCATGGACGGGCTTGTTAGGTAGCAATATATGCGGGATTTTAATGGTCAACTGTGCTAACGGAAATTGGCGTGGTTATTAAAGAAAAAGGCATATTGGGCAGGACATTTCGCCGATCCGCGATACCGTATCTGTCGTGGTGCTGTGGACTAGCTATGAGAAATGTTATATAAAAAGGCATAATGGACGGAGCCTTTCTGACGGAATACCTCGAAGTTCAAGTTTGTCTACACATTCATTCTACGAAACATACTTTCAATCGTGACGCTCCACTGTTAGTCAAGATGAAGGCCCAGGTTCGTCCTCCTTTTACTAGGAATTTTTATATCTTTGACTTTTTTTTGATTTTTACCTCGTGCATATGGACAGATCAGTCTCACGTCAGTCGTATGGCTTCTTGCGGCGATGGGCTCGGCAATTCCTATTACCAATGATCCCCGAGATGAAGGGCTCAGCAGCCTTCCGAAGAAGAATTTTATTTATCGTTTGAACTGTTCGACCCCCGCCAATGCCTTCTTTTGTCAGCATCATGGCGCCTACTGCTCAACATTTCATCTCCACGGCAGCGCCTTCTGCATCAGGGATTGTCGATGTATAATTGATGCCTCCTGCACCCGTCCAAATTGTAGACTGGAGGCTCCTGCCGAAGATTCGAAAGATTCCGGGAACTCCGAGACTTCTTCCATCAGCACCTCTACTGATGCAGCGGTTCCTACCCCTTTGGCAATTTGAGATTAAATACCTGATTAAAGTCTTGATTCTCGGGGATTCCTAGGCTTGTTAGGAAGATCATCGGGTATAAAAACCTATCAGAACTCTTGGATGGAAAACAGTTGCTTCTATCACTGCCTATTTTGGAAATATTCTAGGACCCGGATGTTACAGACGTGTGTGTGTAATTTATTTCTCATGGCGCCTCGCCGAGTTATATCCCAGGCTACGTGATGTATATAAGTCTTTTAGGAGTGCAAAAACACTGTTTGGACAGAGGCATGTTGATGAAAAACAAACGGCTATTTGAGAGTCGATCAAATGTGCCATTTTAACCCTGATAGCACTGTAATCTTTGAAGGGAGAGTCTGTTTGTTCGGTGATCAAGAAGATTTTCATTTGTTTCCTTGAGGGAATGCGAATATACTAGATAGGATAGAAAGGAAGGCACAAATTTTCCTACGACACTAAAACTGGTGTCGCGCTTAGACCTCGCCCTCACCCGCGGGTGACCCTCAGACCCTCGTTTTGAGGGTCGAAGGTCTGACATTCTCACCGGCAGCGAGGGTCACCCGCGGGTCACCCGCGGGTGGTCAAACAGAACAAACAGTAGGACCTCGCTGTATGCATATTTTATGTAGATTTTGCTGTATTTTTTAAGTATTTCGCTTACATCTTCAGACTACAGAGAAGGTCTAATAGATTTTTTATAGATCAGAAGAAAGATTTTTGTTTTCGGATTAAATTTAGCTGTAGAAATACTCCAGTGGCTGTGCTCGCTCCACTTCACACCAAACCTGCCCGCAGATTATTTATTCACACACCTTATTGGAGCCATTAGATAGACCATTGAAGGCATTGCTTCTGGTGAGATGAAGCTTCAAAGTGTGGGGTCCTCGACATCCTCCGGACGCGGGGACGCGGGCCTCTAACCAGACCGGCACCGGGCGGTGGCATCGATATAGCTAGAACTCCAGATGGGACAGTCTGGAACGACCTGCCATTCCTTGCGACGGACATGACAGAGTGCTGGATCAACGACTGCGCGGAAATGGACTTAAAGCAGCGCCTTAATGCTGCGTCCTTCCTTGCAAAGCTTGCGTCCACGCGGATTGCGAACGATCGGCTTTGCCAGATTGCTCTGGTCCTTTTTCGTGATACATTCGAGTCCGAGCGTCCCCTTGGAAGCTCTAATGAGCCGGATGACGAAAACGAAGACCATCGCCGAACAATGCCTGGATTTACTATTGCTTCTTTACTCCCATCTGCATGTGCCTGGATCCGAGAAGCCGGGCATAACATCATACTCTTATCCGATGTCTCATGGAATGATTGCTCCCACAGTACCATTGGGACAGGTGGCTTCACCTTTGTCCAGTCGGAGCTAGGTCAACAGGCACCTGGAGGATTTAGTCCCTGGAGATGGTTATACTGGCTTAAGCGGTTACATCAGATTGCCGATGATCACTGGGACACACACCTAAGGGTACCCCTAGCCAATGATGACGTTCCTAACTCTGGAGTGGGGCATCAAATCCCCGAACGCACCTGCCAGCACATGCATCTCCTTGTCATCAGGGCGTCTCGGCCCGTTGGTGCTCTAATGCTCACATATTTCTTCTCAACCGAAGATCTGCCAAGATGTTTACGGCATTTCGCAAAGATACGGCTGGAGGCTACCTTGAGATATTATTTTATATAGGGGGATGTAAACTATGGGAAGAGCATGACCCAAAAATGTTTATATAGAGTACTATTGCTAATAATTCTCAAATGCCATCCTTATCTCCCTTTTAGTCTCTATAGCTATTAGCGTTTCTAGACCCTTCTCTATAACCTATTAGTCAGCCCTTAGTTAAATTTCCACCTAAAAAAGGCTTCCTATTCGAGCCTATAGTTGATTGCCTCCTAGGGCGGGTAGAATACCTTCTAGTGATAGCAGAGGTTACTATTTGAGTGGCTTTATGCTACGCTACTAAATATAATTCCTAGGAGCTACGGAGTTGAATGATCTTGGTTAATAGATTATAGTCGCCGTCTTCCACTAAGGAGATATATAGGAAGATATTAAAAAGATATAGACTATAAAGGTCTTATACCACTAGTGTTATATTTTTACTAGTAGAAGGGAAGCGATCCTATTTATTATCCTTAGGATTAAAAGGATCGAAGTCTATCTCGAACTTCTTTTACGATCGCTAAATTAGAAGCTAAACTTCGGCCGCGTTCTAAACTATTATCTTAACTTTTATATAAAACAAATCGTGCTACGCTTTAGAAAAGAGACTACTTATATATAAGGACATTTTCTAAACCACGGCTCGAATTTTAGCTTTAAGAGTGTTATATTCGGCGTATAGATTAATAGAGAGAAGTATACGATGGCAAAATGCTTCTCTTTCGCTATTACTCTCTATAAGATGTTCGAGAGCTTCACGAAGATTATTGCCCTCTAAAATAAAATAGCTAGGCTAGAATATCCGTTAATTAATCTCTCTAAATAGAATAGCTAGGATTAATATAAATCGTATCGCTTTAGCTACCGAGGAGTTTGAGGGAATCAGAGGAAAGCTTAGTGGTAGAATTATATTATCTACCTTCCTAATTTTCTCCTATATAAGTTTCTCCTTTTTATTATATTAGTAACGAGCGTGAGTAAAGGTGTCTAAAAATAGACCTTAAGAATATCTTCTAGAATATCTTATTCTAGAAATAGGGACAACTCGTTTATAGTAGAGGTCTAAAGACTTCTGAATTTCGTCGTCCTATAATAAGACGCGGGAATAGTTAGTTCACGAATGGTTACAATTATTTGATACGACTTATATAAAGTCGTTATTAATGTCTAAGGATTGGATAGGGAAGTCTTCTAATTTTTAGATACGAGCTCTAACTACCTAGAGCTCTATACTTATCGAGGCATTAGTAGTTTCTAGCTCTTCGTTCTTTTTCTACTATAATAATAACATTGATTTTAATTTCGATCCTACTATCTTCATTTGGTCTATTATCTTATCCTTCTCTTTTAAATTAGCTTATAGAGTACTAATATCTTCGGCGGATTATAAGACTTTCGCGATCTCTAGCGAGTAAGTCGATTTTAAGTTCGCTATTTCCTACTATAGAGCCTCCAAAGTCTTAGAGTATTTAGCAATCTTACTTTCCTTTTTATCTATAGTAGTATAAAGCGATTCGATCTATGTCGCGGAGTCTCTCTATTTTGCTCTTTTAGTCTCGTTGGTAATAAGCATATCGTTGATGGTAGTTCGTTTTATCTCCTATATATGAAGAATCTCCTTTTAAAGATTCTTCAACTCTTCATCTTGAGAGTGGATCTGCTCACGCTATTAAGTGATCTCGCTAAGCACGGTAGATATAAATTGAGATTTAGAGCTTGACGCTGGTATACCTATATATTTGATAAAGCCTTCTAGGCTACCACTATTGACTAAAGGTAGGATATCATGCTTGCCTAGGTTCAAGGATGATGAGTCGATTAGAGATATGATAAACAATGGCTTAGATGAATTAGCGAGGGCGTGTAGAGTCCGAAAACTTGATCGACCTCGAGTTTCTGTAATAGAAGATAGGACTTATATATTCGTGATTATCTTATAAAGGCGTTCGCTCCACGTATAAAGCCACTAAACCGAGACTCGTGATAAGGGGAAGAAATAGTGAGGCGGTTTATATATATAAGTGTAGGGTAGTTTACGATGTGTTAGCGAATTTATGGTCGTTAATAACGCGAGTTATGGGAAGTAGATATAGAATGTCCAAGCCATACGTGTCGTTCAGACTATAATCGTATCACTAAGGCTTCTTCAAAGTTTGGAGGTTATATTGCGAGGCTCTCGAGGAAATTAGCACACTATAGAAAAGGAAGTAGCTACTAGAGGGGTGCAGACCACCACCGAATCGAAGGCCACTACGGGGACCCACCCTTTAGCTGATAAGCTAATAACACTAGCCCTCACTAGGATAGCGTGGGTATCTGGCTGAGAACTGTCGTGCGCATTTCCTGGTCGCCTCTAGACTATCTTAGGATTGGTCTAGGCCTAGAATAATTGGACTAGAAGAGAAGGAGCACGAAGAGCTAGTTTATATAACGTGTAGCCTTCTATATTGCCTATACTCTTTAGTAGGCCCTACTATATTTGATTCCCTCTTAAGAGGATTTTCCTATATGCTGAGCCCTATCGAAAGGAGTCTCTTATTTTCTGCCTTCTATGTGATCCTTACTCCTGAAATGAGCTAGCTAAAAATAATCTGTTATTAACATCCTTTTATATTACCATTTATAGGATACTCTATATAGCTCTATTATAAACATAAAAGCAGTCTTTTATCTTAGTACCACACCTATTAGATTCCTCTTAGGGTGTTATATATCTTATCTATAGTACGCTCTTATTTCAAGCTATATAGGTCTATTAAGGATCTGAAAGGAGTATCTTATAAGAACTTAGGATACCTTCCACCCTCTACCTAGTCTAATACTCGAGATGCTATCCCTAGGAGTTTCTTCTCCTTTATAACTCGACCCTCTGCCGTAAGCTTCTTCTCCTTATACTCGGAAACTATGAAGAAGGCGTTACTACCATCAGCTATCGCTACACGGTAATATTAGGCTGGCCTTAGGTTGTGTATATTCTTATCGTATAGGGAATAATTCTTCTATAAATACTTTTGCGCGACTCGTTCTAGTGGCGATAGATCTAACGGATCGACGCGGAGCTAGTCTAACCGTCTCCACTCTCCTCGTTTAAGGGACTAGAGCTCGATCTTAATATGATTTTAAGGGGGCCGCTACTTAACCGCCCTTAAGGGTATAAGATCGGCTATAGAGGAATCTAAGGTAGGGATATCTTTAGTAACTAGAGGAGTGGGGTGGGGATCTATAGCAGATCCTGGCGTTTCTAGGCGGAGAGGTTCTACCAACGCTTCGTGGGTGATAGCGTCTAGAGCAACTACGGTATCCACGACATCCCTATACGCGGGTTCCTCGGATCGGTACTTAAGGCGTAGTGGCGATGAATCCTATCTGTCTTCTTATGGAGAAGGCTTCTCGTTCTGTGAATGCTCTAGTTCGCCGAGCTCCTAATGAAGCCGCTTATTTTCTAACCTCTCTTCTAATTGTTCCTATTCTTCCTAAGCTCTTCTTAAACTAGCAAGAAATTCATCTAGACTTTCCGGTGGGGGTTGGCTATATACTAAGGAATTGTTTGTCTCTAATTCTAGAGAAACTCGCCGAACTTTATTATCGACCCGTGTCTGCTCGTTAGGAGCATCGTCTTTACTAGCCTCTTCGACTATTGTTTGCTCTTCCTAGTCCTCTATAAGCGGACCTACGTCTAGGGAGACTCGTGTGTAGTCACTCCTACTATCTTCAATATCTGGCATAGTAGAGGTAGGGGAAAAAAGCGTGATAGCCGTCGCTAGTTAGACCGGCTCCGGCTAGCTTTAAGGCCCGACTGATATAGAATTTTCTTTAGGCGAACTGCTCCGGTTTAACATAACCTGGTCATGATTTATATCTGGTAGTTCCAACTCCATTAGCTCTTTTATATTCCCCGCTAGGCGCGAGATAGCTCGGCGTATTTGAAAATTTCGCCTTCGTTGACGCCTCGCGGTTTCTTTTTAGTCCGTCCGTAATGGCTGCTGACTTTCACTACCTCCTCGCCCTATAATCACTTTAGCTATCTGCTGCTATGGCTCCCCCTAATACTCGTGAGGTGGTTAGGGGTCTAGTGCGGGCGTATGAGTAATAGGGGGGTCGTCCTCTTCGACGAATATTAGCGAAGGAGGTATCTCCCCTATTCCTTGATCTAGATTAGTGTCTTTAGCTTGGTTGACATTACTAGTTATAACCCGGGCAGACTTTCCGAAAAATGCAAAATATACATAACGACGGACGAAAAAGCTGGTGACATTATCGGCAACCTTAATATTAGCGTGTAAACGGTCTAAGAAGAGCAAGGGTCTATCTTGCTTATGAGTCTATATTTGTGGCTCCCTAGAACGAGACTTTAGCTTCATTACGCTATCCGCTAGAAGACCCTAAGGCTGCTCCGGTCGGTCGGAAATAGCCTTAGCGAAATAGCTCACAATCTGATTGACCAAAATATTAAAATCCTGGCTATTATATCGATACCTGTTAGGCTTTCGGGCTTATAGGAGAGCTAAGCGTGCGATCTGATGATCGGGTGAACTCTTGATCAGTATATTGATTTTAGTGGACTATCATATTTAAAAGTTAATACTTCTACTATTATAATCCTATTAATATAACATGTAAGTGATTTAAACTATACAATGCATTTTAAACTAAAATGCAACATTACAAATAATGATTTAATAATATAACCATACAATGTAAAATATAATATGAACATACAATGCATTATGCAACATTACAATATAACCATACAATGCATTTATTAAAATGCAACATTACAAAATAATGATTTCATAATATAATAATACAATGCATTTTAAATCTATCATTATGACGATAACACATTTAATTAGATCTATCTAGATCTATTTTCAAAAGAGATAAATAAGACTATAACCACCGAGATAATAATCTTTTTTACAATATAGTTAAAAATCTTCTATATATTGAATATACTTCAATTAACTAAATACAACCTTTTTATCTCTTTACTTTCTTACCTTTCATCTTTAGTTTTTCTTTCCTACCATCTAACCCCTATAACCTCCTAGAGTACCCATTTACGAAGGAGACTTCTTAGGTATATTTGCTAGCACAATCCGTTTCTTAGAGGAGTTTAGTGAAACTCATGGTATCTCCGGTCCTACCAGGAGACTTTGGCTTAACTATTCTCAGGTCACAGGGGTACTAAACCAGATGTATATATCTAAGCCCGGTGGCAATGTAAACGTGTGCCTTCTCTAGGAGGCATTCTATAGAAACGTTAAGACACAGTCTTGCATTTCCTGGCAAGTCTCTGTCAAAGCCACTAAATAAATCATGCCGTTTGATCCTATTATTCGTGTAGCTGCTTAGTAAGAGCAATTCGATCTATATATATCACCTGACAATGCCTAAAAAGGCTTTCTCGGAAATTATATCAACTTATAATCAGGTGCCGGCTTACATTTGAGACGCGTTTCATTTAACGGTAGCTAAGGAAAATCTAGGGGTTTAATATAGGAGATTTGTCATTCATATACTTTCTCTTATGTTTTTATAGTCTGAATTTAAAACTTCTATAGGCTAGTATCGCGGAATCTGAGGCCGCTTACTAGGCTAAGAGAAGATAGTAGCCGTAGAAAAAAATGTATACTTTGCTTCAATTGGATCGTCCTAGCGTTAATTGTAGAAAAGGGGTTTAAACTCTCTAGGTCTAGATTGCCATCGAATAGCTTTATAGGCCCACCACTGATTATAGTGATGTGGGTTCACTCGGCGTGCTTTCCTTAAGCGTCGCCAGTGAATACACGCGAACTTTTATCCACTTCCACGCCGAAGAAGCTATGCGCAGATTGACTAGAAGAAGCACCTACGAGTCAGGGAGCCCTGTTAGATTTCCTTAAGTGCGGACAATCAATAATAGGGTACTAATACCTTGTCGACTTCTTTCCTCTTCGCCTAGAGGAACGAGGTCTGAGGAATGATTCTATAACCAAAACCAAATTGTTAGGCAAGGAGAGGTCCTCTGTGCGATGCTGGGATATAGCGGGCGAGTCCCATCCAGACTGTTCTTTTTTATCAATCTAGAACACATATTATGTATTTTCGTCCCATTGATCATACGTTTGATAGGTTGGTTGGAATATGATGTGTGATTGGCCCACCGCTACTCCTTTCTCCACCTTAGAGTAGCCAAATTATTTTAGTGGGGTAATAAAAAACAATTGCCTTTTGAAATTTTTCGTGCCATAGGTCATAACTGACTGTCGTAAGGCCGGTTTTTTTCCACCCGTATCAGCTATATTTCTAGGCTCTTTTCCAACCTCCTCGTAACTTAGTGGCTTATAACTAATAATTCTCTATAATAATTAAAAACCGTGCTAGATATAAGCTCGGTGCGGAGAAATACTCTCTATCTTCACGAGAGCTTCTCATTAATTCATATATAGGCTTTTCCATACCTATAGAAGTCGCTTTGTCTCCTCCACGGTTTAATTACGTACTCGATAAGCTGACCACATAGGCTATCTACTTTCCCCTATCCTTAGGTCTACGAGTAGTCGTGAATGTCGTCGGAATGTACAGCGACTTTAGTATGGAGAGACGCTAGTCCCAAACTGCAAACTGGTAATGCACGGAAAGAATAACAAATACAGGAACGCATGAAATACAGTAATATTCGAAATCAGATTTACCTCCACACTCTTCGACTTTAATTCCCGAACCCTAATTTGAAACACGCTAACCCATATATGGTATAGCCGTCGATCCCCTTGTTCCTAGAATAGAAATTGTATTTTACATGACGCGAGTGGGATCTTGTCTCTTTGTAAATTACAGGAAACTGCTATACATACAATACCATTCCACTCTTCTCTCCCATTCTTTTACCCCTCTTTAAAACGGGCTTCTACGTATCGGCGGTTGTCCCGAACCTAATTTCTCTCCTTTTACCTACTTTCATTCTCTTTCTCTCTCTTGCTTGTTAGAGTTCAAAGAGCTGATTAGCAAGCCAACGTTGGCCAGCGCGCACAGCTTAGAGCCACTTTTATTTTCAGCCTTCCACCGACGCCTTTTATACCATTCTTACCGTTCCCGCTGTATTAGGCGCCATGTCTGATGCTGTGGGTATGCAGGCTGATATAGGGAGTCTCTCCCTTGCTAGCCTGGGTCCTTTCTCGACTATCTTAACAGCGCTCTCAGCTGATGATGTTCAGCCTATGGCATTACTCCAGTTGCAGGATTTAGGTGCCGCATTTCCTGTCAGTGGGCCAGTGACAGTCAAAATACCAGAACATCTCCAGCGCTTTCACAGCACCCGGGTTGAACGTCTCGGAATTATTGTGGGCTGGCGCAAAGGTGATTCTACATCACTTCTCGCTCAGTCAATTGGTGGCCAGGCGATTGCTTTGTTGGCTGTGTGTCTATGTAACATACAGAGACAATCAGTGGGTCATGTCTTTCACGCAATTTCAAAAGCCTTGCTACCTCGGTCGGTCTGTCTTAGCAGCCCCTCGATATTACAACGAGCCGTGGAAGTCCTTGCAGATAAACTAGCGCTGATTGGATTTGGAACTATCATCGCAAACCAAGTTTGTCGCATCCATGAAGCTTATACGACGCTTCAGCAAAAAGTACCTATTAACCTTCTGGAAGAACTGAATGAAGGTTGGGTGGCAGAGATGCTCGTGAACATCTCCTATGCCTTGCGGGAGGATGAAGGGATTATGCAGATCCGTGGATGTTGTGGCATGGGATACATTTTAGCCCTGGTGATCACTTTGTTTGCAGATGATTGTACGGTGACCATTGAAGGACTTATCATTCATCAAGGCAAGAACTCAGCGTCTATCATTGTGGACATTGTCGCCTTCATGGAAGAACAACCTGTCCAGATTCATCGAATGCACAAAATAGATTGTGTTGCTGAAATATTCCATACTTCTCGTGCTTCGGAAAGTGGAAGCCGTTGGGGAATTGGGAATGGGGGAAATCCGCTATCCCCTGTTGGTGCAGACTTCCAGTGGAATGGACTCATCTCAGCTCTCCTACATACTATTTTCCAAAAATGGAACTTGGTATGCCCCGTTGATGTGGTTGAAGCGGTAGGCATATGTGCTTTATCCGCAGGAGACGTTACTTGTGTTTTCGCTGGTGATGGCTTAAAGGAAAATCACTTCTCTATCACGAGGCTCTTGGGTGAAAACCACCGTTCGATCATGCATAAGCGCTGCGAATATGTTATAGGGATCCAATTGCCCTATACATGGCCGATATATTCTGAAGCATTTGAAATGCTCCATAAGGCGATAGTGCGACTGATCCAAAACGCACCTAAGAGCTCATCCCATCGTCTAGTCTGGCCCCCGAACGCCGCTAAGGAAGACAATACTTTTGGTAGCCAAGTAGTGGATGTTATATGGTTCACATTCATTGCGCTTTTTATAAATCCGCACGAGAATGCCACTTGGAGGCCTGAGTGCTTTGCCAGCAGATGTGTTCCCAAATGGCCGGACACGGAAGTCGAGGATGACTTCACTTGGGGGATGCAAACGGATTCGGATTATCCGTGGATGTTCTACGAGTTTGACTGGTTAAACTTTTTTTGCGACTGGCATCATGACACAATCGCATCCTCGGATCGAAAGGTCACGCTAGTCCCATCGCCATGCCTAACCCTGGGCTATGAGAACCTTTGTTACTATCGTGGGATGGAGCTTCTAGATGGGCCGCTCATATATAACAGCCGATATCATAAAACGGTTGAGAGTGTGAGATCTTCGGTGGAACCGCAAGACAATCGCCTCCTTCAGCCTCCAAAATCGTTGAATCCTATACTGCCCACCGCAGAAGGTGCTCACTCTGATCTGTTATTTACAATCTCAGAAACTTGGTACGGGCTGGCTCTCAATACAACAGTCACCCTTTTCGGTCGACGAGTTAACATAAATTTTGCAAATTGCTTGAGTGGCTTACTTAGTCTTATTCAAACCGAACCGTGTGAGCATCCCAGGAAGACCCCTTTAAAGAAGGAGTACTCTCGTCTCGTGATGACGACCTCAGTTCTTGCTCCTGAGAGTCAGGTTGAAAGTGATCCTATCATATCCATTGTCCAGACTGCTGGGAATCCTACTGCGCAGCTCCTCTCATTATCCCGCACACCATCCCGCAAGTGGCAAATCCTCTGCTACCACTGCTGCCTCAACTGTGCATACGAGCAAGCCCTTTTCAACGAGATAACGAAGATTATTGTTGCTTGATAACTGTTTACATGATTTTGCTAGCGATCAATGATTAGATGGAAAATGATTCACAGAATTAACAATGATGGCGTAATTTACTTCGTTATATTTCCCAACACTATTTCCAAGACGATCCAACTTTATTCAAGACATGGGTACGAGTCCTTTGGAAAATATGGGAAGCTGCTTCTCGATGGCGATCCAAGTTATGTCGGTGTCGTCAAATCAGTTAGTCAGTTTGCGTTTGGTGCGAACGCTTATTGATGCGACGATGACAGTGTCATGGATCTCACCCGATAATGGCGAGCAATTTTCGTCGATGAGCTGTCTCTAGCCTCTTCTCCAATGGCAGCAGCCAGAAGGCATTGGGGGCCAAGACGACATCTTCCTCAGTGTCCACTGATACCTCCCTCCGGGTTATTGACTGTCACTCGCCACTTAATACGATAGTGGATATAGGTTAGTGGATCCTGATTGTATACTCTTCCTATTCCGACAACCGGAGCAGCCTAAGAGTTTCTAGTTGCGACTGATTCTCGAGCACAACAGACGGGGAGGGACTATAGTTAGACCGTATTGCGTAGAAACTACTATAGTATCCTTGAGTTGGAGAGTATTGCCAGTCGTGTTCCTATAGTTCGGGCTCTTCGGGCTGAGAGATTGGATCGTCGTGATCTAGGCTCTGTTTTATCTCTATATATAACGGTAGTCCTTGAAAGGTCTAATGTCAGCTTCTCGAGAGTACAGCCTTTCGATCGACATCGGTAACGAATGGGAATCGAAGTGGATAGGATAAGAAAAAGCAGCTTTGCCTACTAGGGTTAGTTCTCTAAGTAGTCACTGCAGCCTTCTATTAGATGTTAAAGGAGTGTAAGCGAAGGCTGCTGTGATGAGAAGATCGGAATTTAAGGGACGAGGATGGGGATCTTGCCAGATTGTTGGGATTCCCCCTTTGTTTGGTCCCTTTGCATGAAAGATTCGAGCAAATTCTAGGGCAAATTACGGTATTATAACACTGCCTCATCCATAGTTACCAGGGAATACAATACAGTCTAACAGGGATTACCAGGGAATGGCTAAAATTAGACTAGCGTGTTTCAAGCTAGGATTCGGGAATGAAAGTCTAAGAGTGTAGGTCAATCTGATTTCGAACACTACTGTACGCATCAAAAGAGACTTGATTTGTTAATGCGATGAAAAGCGAAAAGGGCAGCAGGACATGGCGCGCACAAAGAAACGTCGAGTAACTATAGAACAGGGCTCTCGAGTCTGCGGGGTTCTTGCACCTTGTCCGTTCTCTGCCGAGTGGCTGAATATTGGTTGCCAGGGGAATAAGGCAAAGAGGGGTGCGTAGTGACGTCAAGTATTGGCAATCGGCTGAGAACAATCTTGTAGGAGCGGGGTGAAAAAAATCTCGCTGGTAGCAAGGTATTAGGGGATGCACGGACATCAAAGCAAGTGGAGACAAATAAGCCAATAACATCTAATGAACACCATCCTTCGAGGTGGTGATCAATTAAATTCATTAAACAAAATTAAATACATGATTTCTTCGAACGAGTAAAACACTCACCAAGAACTCCCCTCACGTTTGACTTGCGCATAAAAGATAAGGACCGTGAGAACTAACTGACGTTAACAACTATTGACTTCCTATTTACTCAACGTTTATTGAGTTCGTCGTGTGCAATGGTCAACACACGTTCAGGATCTACCAACCTATCCGATTTCCATAATAACATTTTTTTAAAGGGCATCCGTTTCCTCACTCTATTATAACAAGTGCTCAAATATGTTGAATCGGCCTCGAAAGCCATCGAAAATGAGCGGCCTCTTAATTCTTCTACGACGCCGCAGTCAAATGCGTTTGCCTATCTTGTTCTGGTTCAAACCTAGCTAGCTGCCTACCTGATTAATCTACGTTTTGCTAAGTAGTTAGGGAGCTACTACCATCGCTCTTAGGGTCATGCTTACGGCCTCTTAGAGCTTAATGGCCTCCAGGAACTGCTGTGGCGGATCGTGGCGGATCGGGGAGTGAGACAGATTGCTTCAGGAACACCCGTCCATCCCCAGGAGCACCAGTCTATCCCTAGGAACACCGACTCTGTCTTCAGGAACACCAAAATAACTTAGGATCAAAGGTAAGAGAGGCTAGGAACGGTCTGGCTCGCTCCCAGGGGAGATAGGTACAGTTCCTAGAGGACGCTCCCAGAAGCCGATAGCATAGATCCTAGAAGCGAGTTTTAATCTTGGAATCGTCGAAGTTCAGTAAAGTTGTCTCTAGGCTCGAGATATGTAAATTTTAAAGCTAAATGATAGTGTAATACTGAAATCCTTGTGCTACTATAAGAGCTACTATCGTCCTTTACCCCTCTGCTACCCTTCAGGCTGCTCTTCTAGACGCCGAATCGTTTGGGACGAGCGCGTCGCATACTATAATGAGGTTTCTAGCTTAGGGCCAGGTTCTATATTTGCCGCCTTTACTATTCCTCTCATGACTAGCCGTGTAGAAATCCCCGCTAAATTTGAGTCAGTGCTCGCCACTAGGCATTCAGGAGAGGAGGAAGAATTGTCAGTTCTTAATAGGAAGGTTGATAGCTTCACAACAGTGATAAGGCCGGGTCTAGAGAAATAAAGAAATAGCGTAAGGCCCTCGAAGATCGGAAGAGTAGAATCTGACGCTCATATTCGAAGGCCATGGATATCCTCGGCATGCCTCTATAAGTGCATCTCGTGTAGGACGGACAAATCGCAGAAATTATATATCCGGTCCGTCAAATAGGATGTCCTAAAATGCCTCTTCACTCCATTATAGTCGGAGTATATCTTAGGGCATTAGAAGCATACGAACGTTTGCTCTATATTCGGGATATATTCCTGGCTAGTGGTACGTTTATTCTCCCACAACGTAGTCGGCGGCGTATCAGGTTTTATCTTTCGAGCTAGCGGAGAGGGAACTATATCGTTATTATCGGACGGTATAGAGCGCTTCCGTCGTCCCCAAAGGGGCCCACCCTCCTAAAAGCCGTAGTATTATATTCTAGTAGCAATAGCTTTATTACGCCGCGTCTATTCGTCTTCTAATAAATCGGTGGTAGGCTAAGTAAAGAACGTCTCCACGAGAAGAATCTGCTCCGATAGTATTTCAAACTCCTTCCGTAATACCTCGCGCGTAGGCTTATCACTAATAGCCCCACTAGTGAGCTATCTTTTAATATCAATCACCGCCTATTTCTGACTAAAATCGCGGCGTGTTTCTTTCCGCCGTTTATCTTATAGACGCCGGCGTAAATTATAGACTTGTCGCTTCTAGTCCTCTAGTATCGCTCGTAATGCTAGGTTTTAAGAGCGATTAGCGCACTAGGTCTCTAAATCGACTTACTAGCGTATAGCTGATTGTAGTTCTAGGTCTTTCTCCACTAATTCCTAGTTAGTATCGCTTAGGTTGTTACGCACTGCTAACTGGTCACAGTTAGGTTAGAAGGGTTCGGTTATACTTGCCTTATGCTTCTCAGGTTTCCAACGTCAACGATCTGTTCTCTCAACCGTACTGTTGCCCAACAGGCCTTACTGCAGGATGGGTCCTATTGAGGTATCGAGGAACGATGCCAGGTAGAGCGCCGAGGAGATCTATACCGAGGTATTGGTCTACTCGTAGGTGTTGTCAAGTTATAATCAAGTAAAGAGTCACTGAAGTTCCAAAGGTATACATAAGTAACAATGTATGATTGAAGACGAAGAACTATACTAAGTATATGAACGAGTGTCCTTATATATCCTTCGTGCCTACTCCCTGGTCTACCCCCTGGGGGTAGATACTGGAGTCACCGTATACTCCCAGGTATACTCCTATGGAGTAGGTCCTGGAGTCACGCTTAGTCAGGCGTATCCTACGATCAACCTCTTCCTATGAAGTACCGGGGTCATGCTTAGCTAAGCATGACCTGCGGCTGTCCTGCGACTAGTCCCATCCTGGGATAAGCCTGGTCCTGCGATATGCCTTGGTCACGTGTCCCATTCGTTAGATCCCTAGGGATCCTATGATGGTTGCTGTCGTGCGGTAGCCTATGTCGTAGGATCCGTGGTTCCTTGCGACATGACTCGTCTTGGGTTCGCTGACACCGTGTGTTATTCTGTATCATGAGGGTACAACGGAAAGACCATGTATTTCCGTGGTGTGTCACGTGACTTGTTGGTTGGTTGGCTCTCGGTGGCCCATCGGTGTGGCTTGTGGATCTCCACTGATTGGTGACGGGAGTGCCCGTAACATAGGTATCGTGGTCGCCGCCGATCAATCTAACGGCTTATCTAGGTCATAGCCTTTAAGAACTCTTCGTCTAGATTAAGGCCGTATATAATCTCTTATAAGCTAGTATACCGACGGGGACGATAATATTTGATAAACGTTCTACTAGTGGCGTGGGCTATAATCATATTACGCTATACTTCACTAATAAAACCTAGGCAGAAGAGTTAGCCCGCTTATCTAGAGAAAATCAGAACCTTAGGTATTTATAGTCTACTCACCACTCTTATTAAGTAAATCACCTCCTCCGTATCGAAATTGGTGAGAGAAGAAATGATTAAGGAAGCCGTGTATCTCACTAGATATCCTAAGTTATACGTCGAGTGTGCTACCATTTATAGGCGTCTCCTATAAAATATGGGGCTAGCTATAGATCACCTTAACCTTTAGGAAGATATAGTAATTATCCATCTCTTTCTTTAAAGGAAGTAGCATTTCCTATCGACCACCCTCGATAAGTAGTCTCTAAAGGTCTTCTATTGATATTAAGTGAGGCGCTTTAAAGGCGTGGACATAAAATAATATAATGAAGAGTAGGACATACGGGCTAAAGATAAGCGATACGCCGTAGACAATTTTAGGTAGCGCGAACGTGTTACTAAGTAATATCGATTAGTTAGTCTGATTATAGCAAAAAAGTGTGACTTGGGTGCCACCTATAGCTTCGATATGCCTAGGACGCTTTTCACAAACTAGGGCTCGAGTTCGATCATCGGCTTGGGAGGTCCTCCGTCGGATCCTACTAGAGCGATATTTATAGATGCTTAAACTGAAGGTCAAGCATTACCTGTTTTCGGTTGATGGTAAATAACCCAATAGTGTTATATAGACATAGGATAATGCGCTGAAACCCCAAGTGGAATCGCTTCTCCTGTGTTTGAAGGATTGTCTCATTAAAAATCCCGACCGATTGTTTAATTATCATTTGAGCTGCTCCCCCTCCCCGGCTTCCTCGACATCAGAATAGCATATATATGCGCGTCACAGCAGCAAGGGTTGTTCTGAAACCATGGGGGCCACAAACTGATATTCGGTTATATACATCTCATGAAGAATTACGCCTCCTAAACTCCTCCTCGCAGCTCCCACAATATAATCTCAAATACCCGACGCCAAAACAATCCCTGCAACGATCGAACGCGATCCCTTCGCCGTAACAGCTACGGCATTCCGCGGAGAAATAAGGGGCATGAAACTCTCCTCGTGTGTTGTCGTAGCCACCCTCCGTCTCAAAGGTACCGCGCTTGCCCAAGCAGGAGGGACAGAGATCAGAGGTTGTGCCGGTGCCCGTGCAAAGAGGGCATAGGTGGGTTGTTGGACAAATATTGCAAGTCATTTGAGCTTCGGGTCGAACCTAGTTTGACATCCAAGTGCGGTCCGGGTGAAGGCTGTGTTGATTTGTAGATTTATTGGTATAGTAAGTGGATAGATTGTGATGTAGTATGTGTCAAGAGAAAGGAATTTGAATCGAACCAGATTTCTCGAGGACATCCATAGCCATGGTTTATCCGTGGGCTGTGCAGGAAGTTGGAACATCACCCCGCCATTGTGGCTATATTTTCCCGAAGTTTGAATCATGTGATGGTCCTATTTGAGTAACTTGCATTTCTCAGGCATCGGCACCCAAACCCTTCAGGGTCAACGTTAATACTTGGGAACCTGATACTCATCATGATTGATGCTATCCAAACCTCGCTGTGAAATCTCCCAGGTTCGTAGCAGCCTCATCGATGCGACCATAGTCGAAGTGACACGTAATGGCTTCGATATTCACCATCTGCCTGCCGTAAGTCGCGTGATTGACGACAACAAGACTCTGTACAACAAATATATATGATAGATTTGACGTCTATTAAATATTGATTTGAAAGATGCGGGTCCAGAGTTTGCGTTCTTTGGGATATCAGTCATGGTTAAACAGGGCAAACGACTGCTCACAGGTAGCTATACCGCCGCTCGTGCCAAATCTACGCGACTTAATAATCGTTTTGCACCAATTCTTCGAGAGGAGAATGACTGATTTAATTTACATGTACCAGCCTGGTAACGAAAGGCAATCTACCCCACTGTAACCACAAACCCGGGCAACGAATTCAAACTCATGATCGTTTCTACATGTTGGAAGGTCTGACCATTTTTTTTCCAACGTGAGTTGACACTCTCCATTACCTGCTTTCTCGTCCCATTCCTTAGCAGTTTTAAACATGTATCGAAGCACTGCCCGGCATCCCATCTGCGTTCTAGCGCGTCGCAGGTAGTTCTTGGAATATGGCGGCCACTCGCTCCGGTTGTTTGAACACCACTCAAGATTTTCTACGCTTGGGACCTTATTGGCCTTAAGACACTCAACGGCAATTCGGAAAATATTCACAAAGCCTCTTCGTAATGACTTGTTGCTTTTGAGGTTCTGTCGCACATCGGAATCGAGGTGCACGATGATGTAGTCGTTGTCTTCTACCCAAAAGCTGCCATCATCAATTCCTTCCTACATAAGGTCATACGTAAGCTCGCCCTAAAAGGTTAAAGAGGTCCTCATTCGGGCGGAAATAAAACCTCCCACGCAGTCGCCGTATGTACACCCGTATCGAAGGCATGCTTTATTAAGCCCCAAAGGATCCCGTCCAAACAACAGTGAAAGACAGGACAATGCAGCTTCAGAGTTTCCTTCAAAGCGATCCGATATGTTGATTACCCTGAAAGGACCATATACCTTTCGTGTTCTCATTCTCTCTAACTTCTCCTATAATGCTTCGAGCGGGGTGTACCCGTCAATGTCACGAGCAACCTTCCAAGTGTCGGCGTGAGGGACATTCTCAAGTAGCCATTGCGTACTCAGGGGCTTGATTTCGCAAGCTATTAGATGTAGAAGCGTGGCTTCAGAGTTCGTCACTCGATCCCAGCCAATCTTATCATCAGCATGAGTGATGAAGAAAGCCCTGAGCTCTTCATCCGTTAGAGTGAGACTTGCATGATATAGTGACAACACGTCACGAAGCCTTTCCATTTTCAGTTCCTTTACATTAGTCCAACTGTCTACTTCATAAATCATTTCAAGCTCTTCGTTCTCGAGATCTTCCGCATTACTCCTTCGTGGGTCAAAATCACACGCCTCCGCCAATGCGCGAGACTAATGCTGGAGATCGAATGATAATACAAAACAGCGAGATGCTCCAATTCGACGAAACCCGCACGATCGCCAAAAGTCGATAGCACCAGATTGATTTCGATATTTTGTTGTTAAGCGTTCTTCAGCGGATTTGCCCTTGAGCTGCGGCTCGATATCAGCTGTTAGATATCCAGGACTGACTAGAGCGTGAAGAGTCCATGCTCGCTCGAAAGCCTCGTCGGAACCATAGATAAGATCCGCGTCTTCACCATCTGGTCTTTCATGTTGGAGGAACTTTTTCGCCTTTTCCAATAGTAAAGACACCACTTTCCGTCCGAGTCCTTTCCGACGTAGTTCGAGTGCTGTAACATGAAGCTTCTCAAGTAGGAAAAAAGGGCCATGATCGATCTCGTTTCCCCATATACCAGTTCCTCTTTGCACTGGGTGGTCCTTGCACTTGGCCTAGACTGTTCCATATCGATCAAAGATATAGAAGGCCACATCGCACGTTTCCTCGCTAGGCTCTTCCATCCTTTCCCAGAACTCAGGGCGAACACCTTCTCGATGAATATACCGGGCTAGAGCGTTGGCGACAGTGACGCCATCGTAGGTGCATTCGGCGACAAAGTTTTTCATCCACTTAGATTCGCTGAATCCTTCATCTGCCAAAAATAGCCGGATTTTAATTGGTCGCGCCGGGTCATCGGAGGTGGTATATTCGTGCTCCTCGATTTCCTGTTCGTCATTCGAATCTTCGCTATCATTTTCCGTCCGCCATCCTCCCTCATCCTCATCCGAACGATTGTACTCAGAGTAATCTTCTATCGACTCGTCATCATCTTCGAAGTCCATTCCTAGACGTCAAAAAATTGTCAGCAGAGCTCACATTTCCTATCTATTAGTGGAAGGGGAGAACGCACTGCTTCGCTTGAGGGGTACTCGCTTCCCCGCTATTTTCTCCCCGTCATTTTCCATTTTCATTATCAGCCTAGCTTTCTGGCTTATTTTGATCGAGACGAGTATAATTTAAGAGAAGAGGGATAGGTGAGTAGAGAGACCAGAGTGGAGTCAGTCATTCGTGAGGGATCTACTACTTCTTGTACTTATAGGAGGCAGGCTGTAGGAATGACTAATGTATTTCCTAGGTTACTAGCTTCTCATGCCAATAGAAAGTACCATCACATGGGCGGGGACGCAGAATGGGGGCCGTTCTAGTTATGGCAAGCAGATGCAGAATATCTAAACATTACGAGTCATTTCGACTATGGTCGCATCAATGAGGCTGTGGCAAATTTGGAGATTCTGCGACAAGGTCCTCTAGGAAAATCACACATTGCTGAGGTACAAGACCATTGACGGACACTGCGGTGACCCACATTAGCGCTGCTGAAAGGCCAATGACACCAGCCCTCAGCGAGGACTCCTCGCTGAGGAGTCCTCAAACGGGACAGCATGGGGTGACTAGCTGGTTTTGTCCGTTTCGTCGCACTTCTGCTTTTTGATAGCTGACAGAAATCTGGCTGTATGACAACGTATGGACAAAATCAGATATATTGGAATCTCTAACTAACTAAAATGACAAAACCCGCACTTTCAACAATCTGGGCGGACATAGATGACTAACTGTAATATGCACTTTTGTATGGTATGGGCGGTACCATGTGTCACATGATATTCAGGGTATTTTACCCTGTTTCCACCATGTATTCAATCTTAGTATTCGACACACCCCCCAGTTTTTGGAGCTTGCTCCAAGAACTGCCAATTCCTTCATTTCTGGCCTTTCTTCAAAACAGCCTCTGTTTTTCTGAGATGACTAATCTCTTTTCTCGTTGATCAGTTGACTGATCTCTCTTGCTTTCAATCTCTCTTGTTGATTAGATGACTGATCTCTCGCATACCGATCATCTCTCTGAAGATCGCCTGCTTCTGCTTCGGTAGTGGCTTCGTGAGGCCATCTGCCGGCATCTCTGCAGTAGGAACCCAGTTAATGTGAACTCGACCAGCGCTGACTTCCTGTCTCATCTAGCACCGATTGATATCCACATGCCGCAGCTTCGTATGCATACCCGCCCCTTCCTTTGTGAGCAGATCGACTGTCTGCTGGTTGTCACACATAATGGACAAGGGGTGATCGGGTTTGAATCCCAATGAATTCAGTACTCGGCGCCACCATTGTACGGTTTTACCGGCCTCGGCGAGAGCAAGAAGTTCAGCTTCAGTGGTTGATGTTGTGACGGTCTTTTGCTTAGATGCTTTCCAATCAATTGGACCGCTATACAACTTGCAGATATAACCTTCTGAGCTTTTCCTATCTTTGTTGTCTCCAAAGGAAGCATCGCTTGCGAATTCAACTGACTTCGCTGCCAGTTATAAACTGTGGTTTGTTTGGTTTTTATTATGTTCTTGTTTTTGATCTTGGTCTTGATCTTTATCTCTGGTCCCATATTCAATGGCCCAGAACCTGGTTTCATACAGATACTGAATGATTCTATCGATGGCGTCGACATGTTTCGGACCAGGGTTTATGAGAAATTCAGCCACTTTTGACGTGGCTTTCGCGGCATCTGCTCTCGTTGTGGTCGTACTATACTGAGCAGATCCAACCTTCTGTTGAAATTGGTGAATTTGATATGCTGAAGCCACCCCTTCGAAGGGTAGCAATGGTTCAGTGCTGCTCATTGGTGAGCCTATTTTTCTTTCTGTAACCAGGTTATACCTGGTTGCCATGCTTTCAATGTATGAATCCTAGCATAACCAGAGCTTCTTCTGTTTCCGGTCCCGAATAATGCGTATATTCAGGAACCAACTGGCATCTAGCTCTCTCAATTCCCACTGCTTTTTCATTTCTCGATCTAGATCAGCAGCCTTCTTTGTATAGACTGGATCTGGGTGGTTTGCCATAATGATATCGTCCATATAAAAGAAGACGATGATACCATCGGCAGTAAAAATGCAGGGATCTTCTAGAACTAGAGTAAGCCCTAGTTTTACTAGAACCCTTGTTGCTTCTTATTGCCATAGTCTAGGTGACAGACGTAGGCCGTACAATGCTTTATGGAGCAGCCAGCAATAGCCTGGTTTTTCAAAGCCTGGCGGGCACTTAGTATAAACCTCAGTTTGCAATGTTGAATTCAGAAATGCAGTAACAACATCTCTCTACACCATGTCAAGATCAAATGCTGCCACCAATGCAAATACAGCTCTCGCAGTTTTGACGGCGAGGGTAGCAGCTCTCTTTTCCTCTGTAGACAGCCACTATAGATCTCCTCTCACACAGATTCTGGCTTTGTATTTTTCCAGGTAGCCATTGGCATCAAATTTGTAGGTAAATACCCACTTTAATGGCAAGACCTGTGTCCCTTTTGTATTCGGCGTTGGAACATGACTGAATGTCCCTTTCTTGTCTAGTGTCCCAACTTCGAAGCCAGCTGCCACTTTGAATTCCTTGCCATGTGGATGAGCTTCCAATTCTGCCCAGTTCTTTGGCTCTAGTGGCAGTTGATCTCTATAAAGCCTAGCCTGGCTGAATCTTGCTCCTATGCTTGTTGTAAAAGCATAGAGCATGCCAGGTGTCTCTTCTTCTTAGTGGTTTTCCAGAGATAGATATGTTGCATAGTCGTTATCCACCCTTGGTTTCCTATTTCTTCTTCCGGTCATGACATTTGACATATTGATATCACCAGATATATCCCTTGGTGCTAGTGCTCTTTCTTCCAGCTCTCTATTTGGTGACGGCTGGGATGATAGCTCTCGTTGAATCTGTCTTTGCACTTCCTCTTCTTCTTCATCTATCTCTTCTTCCACTTCCACCCCCCAGTTTCGATCGACGGTATCACTGAGATCGGATCTGGCGACGATGAATGCTCGTTTTGGGTATATATAGATGGAACTGGGGTCGTATTCGATGGAATCGACGGCGACGGTGATGAATTTGATGAATTCGGCGACGGTGAGGTTGTTGGTAGAGGTGGAGAGGATGGGATATCTGCTGGAAAGCTTCCTGGCAGGCTATCTATGCTTGCTTGCTCTCTATTTGTTGATCCTAACATTGACTGTGGGGTCAAAGGAAAAATAGCATCTGTTTTTGAAAAGGGCGCCAATGGCGTTATCTCCCTGGTTTCTGTATCTCCATTTTCTTCAACCAGCTCTGCCTCGCCGGCGTCATTTCTGGCATCCTCGCCTTGTTTGGTATGCTCAGTTTGTTCGTATAGTGCGATCCTCGCTACTGACATAGGCATCTTCAACCTAGTACTCAGTTCAGCCTGGGCTTCTTCCATGGTGAGCACCATAGGCCAATTGACAATCCCATCAATGAGAGTGCTGACCGCGTCTTCTTCTGTAGGGATCGGCTTGCTAGGTGAGTACCGGCGGGATTCATCAACGATAGCATCTCTGACGACGTCTATCCTTCCCATTCCGGTTGCTCTTCCTTTCTGCGGGAACCATACTTTATATAGGTTCTTCGAGATATATCCCACAAGATAGCCGATCTCTGCTCTCGGTGCCATTTTATCTGACTGCACTCGCTTGATAATTCTTGAATATACCAAGCTGCCATACATCCTGAGATTTGACAAGTTGACGGTTTGAATTCCATCTGGCGCGGCATGCTTCATAAGCTCTTTCCAAGGTATGATCCATTGGTTGTTCATTTTTATGGGCGTACGGTTTAGCATATATGCCGCTGCATACATAGCTTCCGGCCACAATTCAGGTGGAAGATTGGTGTCTTGGATCCAGACTCTCGCCGTTCTGACTATTATGCTCCCAGATCTCTCGGCTGGACCGTTCATTTCTGGTAAGCCTGGTGGTGAATGCTCAATAGTGCATCCTTCGGCTTGGATCATGAATTCAACTTCATTTCCAGCACTTCGTTCATTGTCATAGTGGAAGACCCTGATCTCAATCTTCAGCCAGTTCTTGATCAATGCTAAGAACCGCCTAACTGCCATCTGACAGTCGTTCTTTTTAACGTGGGTGAATACAAAGTGGCATCTAATACCATCCAGGTAAAAATGCGTCAACCAGATATGTCCGTTATATGCTGGTTTCAATTGAACTAGATCGAAGTGCACTCTGCCAAATACACCATATGTCTGTCCAATTCTGCGTCGAGATATCTGTCTAGGTGCATCTGCTAACTGGCAAGCTTCACATACCTGCCCCTTAGGGCTAGGGTTGCTGCCAGTTATAGTTATGCCCTCTGTCATCTCGGCCAATTTAGCAATACGCTCTGGTCCAATGTGACCTAGGCGTTTATGCCATATTTCGAAAGTAGCCTCTGTTTTTGGCTCCTATTCCGATTTCTTAGTGGCAAAAGCCACTTCTTGTTCCGGCTGTAAAAGCCAGGGTAGTTGCTGATCTTGATAGATGCTGAATACTAGCTTTCCGCCATCAATTGTCTCAATGCAATTGTTCCTGAAATTCATTAATACCCCCCCTTCATCATCAATCCATGGGATATCAGATTACTATGGAAATTGGGAGAATATCTGGCATTCTTAAGCTCTAATTTGACTGATCTTCCGTTGACTAGGCTGACTCCATAGATGACTACAGTGCCAACGCCGTCTATTTTCGTCTCTGTGTCTCCCACCCGGACGCTGCTTTGTGCACTTACGAAGGTTTGAAATAACCGACGATCGTTACATATATGCATTTGCGAGCCGGTGTCAACAACCCATCTTTCTTTTGCCGGCTTTATGCCGTTTTCTTGGGTCATTTGGGTGGACATAACATTGGTGGAGAGAGCTTTGGCATGCATATCCTTTGGTGGAATATCATTGGTTTGAAGAGCTTCTTTCTGCATACTCCCGGCTGGAATAGCATCTGTTGTGAAGAAGCTAAAGTCATCGTTTTCGAAGGTTGCATTTGCATGCTTGGTGTCTATTCTAGACTGCCCTTCGTCCTGTGCTTTCTTCTCAATATATGCTTTCTAGGCTGGGTTTACATTGATGGCAGCTTCATATTTCTTCTTCCGGTCTTTATTGACCTAGTATGAAGCTGGCCTGTCTTTTTCATAGACATCCCAGCATCTCCATGCAGGATGCCTACCAAGGTTTCTACCACATAGACATCGTCTCTTAGACATTAGTATGTCTTCTTGCCTAGCTTCCTTAGCCTTTGACGATTCTCTCTCTAGCTTTGCTTCTTCATGGTTTTGCCAGGTTGAAAATGCCGCTTTTAACATGTTGTTTTTCGAAACTTGCTTTACATGGGTGATTGACCAGTGAGCTTTATACCGAGTAATAAGCTCACTAAATTCAATCGTCCCTTTGTCTTCGAGTCTCAATATCCATGTTTCATAGAAGCCAGGTGACATAACTGATATGGCATCTAGGAATTGAGTGCTAGCATCCTTTGCTTCAGTGATGCCTACCTTCGCACAACGAGTATGAAGGGTTTCCCAGTTTAATAGCCACATATTGATATCGGTATTTCTATCTAGCCCTCGGTCTAGATTTCTCCATTGGTGGCGAAGCTTTGCAAGGTATGTTAGATCGCAGTCTGGTGAGAATCTCATCCTCAGTTTTCGGAGCAGTTCATATGCTGAATCCTGAGAGATAATGAAGGCTTGGAAACTTAGGTTGATGCTATTTCGTATAGCTGTTACCACAGTGCTTAATCCTCTCTTTTTCTTCAGATATTTGTCGTCTTCGCTCTGCCAAATCATCTGCTTCGCCTTTAGGGTTTTATACCAGTCTTGGTTTTGTTCTTTTGCTTTCTTTTGAACTTCTTCAAGATCAGGTTGTTGAGGTTGTAATAGAGCAGCTGGCTCTGTTTCTTGTGAAGGATCACATAGCTCCCAGACGTTGAATTGATCGGCAATTCCTTTGATATTGGCTAGCCATGGTTCCCATATTGTTGTGTCTTGTAGGATGACGCGGGCAGAGGCCGCGGAGAGAGTATAATCTGCCATTCGTTGTCTTTTTCGTAGACAGAAATCCGGTTTTTCTTCGATTCAGGGGTTGCTTCGGCGGTGGGTGGTTGAACTTTCAACTCAGCATTGACCGGCGACAGCGAGGTTTATTGATCTTAACAAATATAGATCATATTATTGAACGATTCCGGGCTCATAACTGACAGAAATCTGGCTGTATGACAACGTATGGACAAAATCAGATATATTGGAATCTCTAACTAAAATGACAAAACCCGCACTTTCAACAATCTGGGCGGACATAGATGACTAACTGTAATATGCACTTTTGTATGGTATGGGCGGTACCATGTGTCACATGATATTCAGGGTATTTTACCCTGTTTCCACCATGTATTCAATCTTAGTATTCGACAATAGCCACAAGATGACTTGAGTCGGGCTAATCATAAAACGCTGGTTCGAGATGCTAAATTTAGTTGGTTTTATGCTGCTTTCCCCCACCTTCGGCTGTTGATTAGCCCCACAGAGTAACAGTTTCTATCTGCTTCAACGATTGTGCTTGGTGGTTCCTCGGAGCCTACTGTGCCTTGGCCGCTAAACTAAATAACCGCGGAACAGAACAGACTCAATGTGGGATGCCGGATGCGTAATCGATAGATCACGTGATAGAAGCATTAGCCAAGTTTGGAGCACCGAACAATCGGAATGTCGCGAGTGAGCAAACTCCCTTAAAGAGAGCGAGTACTTATAGCATGACGGGCCTCCTCTCACTCCAGTAAGTCCTAAGCCAGTGAAATGCTTTAACGGAAATTTAATTATCTTCTCGAATCCAGAATGTTCCAATCGCGACCCTTGTTGGCTGAGGTGGGACAAGAGCGTACCCGATTATGGGTGCATTCGGCAATTCTAGAGCGCTTTCCAACCCTGTTAATGTTGGAGTTAGACGCTTCCCCAAATTTGCAAGACGAACGATGTCTCCTTCTAGAACACATTGACCCAGATATCTTTGGTTGGTGCTGCGAGTATGCCTACACAGGGAACTACACGTTCATTTTTTCACCAGGCCGGGAATCGACACAAAAACAATCAATTCGTCTGCAAAACTTCGGATTTGACGGTCCATTTGCTGTTGTGATCCCTCCGTATCAGATCGAGAGACTTCACCGTTCTGACTTGGCCAATCTTACCGACCATTCTCGTATCCATTCCTTTGCAAGCAAGTACCAGTGGGAGCAGTTACGTCTGCTTTCTGTCAAGAAACTCCGGGATTCTATTTTAAACCTACGTTTCCCCAATCGTCGTACCAATGAACTGCTCCGGTATTTTATGGAAGAGGCTAGATCACAAGTTCCTCTGGAAGAGACACCCTCTTGATAGTAAGATAATGCAACTTGCCAGTTATTCGCTATATGCATCTAGTGACTCACCAGTATATTATCGAAATATATCTGGACTCAAGCACCGGGGCAATAGGAATGTTATATCACCAGCAACTTCTGTCCCGACTAACTATATCATTAAATGACCTTAAACCTCGATCATACCCCGAAGCTCATATGAAAGTTCACGGGCAGACCTTAAGAGAAACTCTTAGTGGTCAACTGTACGGTACAATTCAATAATAGCACCCAAGGCGGAAACAGACAAAGTTGAGGGCCTGTAGTCGAGATTTGAGGTCTCTTCCATGATAGTGATTTGTTCGCGTGATGAGACGCACGAAAAGTTAATAGGTATACAGAGATGAGTAAAAGAGGAAGGTAGTCGAATTCATTATGATCCATCAATCAAAAGGTCGAAACAACTACGATGGGATTCTGTTCCGGTAGCTCTAAATAATCGCGACAAATCTGGTACGCCTTAATGAAATAGTCACCAACCCAACCACGGCGCCAATTGTGGCCAGATAGAGAACAAAGGAATGGCGCAGGGGTCTCCAAGATGGAAAAAGTAGAATCTGACGCTCATATTCGAAGACCATGAGCGTCAGAAGCATGCCGCCGCAAGTGCATCTCGTGTAGGACGGACAAATCGCAAAAATTACATTTTCGGTCCGTCAGATGTGATGTCCTAAAATGCCTTTTCACTCCATTATAGTCGGAGTATGTCTTGGGGCATTGGAAGCATACGAATATTTGCTCTGCATTCGGGATATATTTCCCGCTAGAGGTATATCCCTTCTCCCACGACGTATTCAGCTACGTGTTAGCTTTTATCTTTCGAGCTAGCGGAGAGGGAACGATATCCTTATTATCGGACGGGGTAGAGCGTTTACGTCGTCCCCTAAGGGGCCCACCCTCCTAAAAGCTGTAATATTGTATTCTAGCCGTAATAGCTTTATTACGCCGCGTCCACTCGTCTTCTAATGAATCGGTGGTGGGCTAAGTAAAGAACGTCTCCACGAGAAGAATCTACTCCGATAGCATTTCAAACTCCTTCCGTAATACCTCGCGCGTAGGCTTATTATTGATAGCCCCACTAGTTAGCTATCTTTTAATGTTAATCACCGCCTATTTCCGACTAAAATCGCGGCGTGTTTCTTTCCGCCGTTTATCTTATAGACGCTAGCGTAGATTGTGGACTTAACGCTTCTAGTCCTCTAGTATCGCCCGTAATGCTAGGTTATAAGAGCGATTAGCGCACTAGGTCTCTAAATCAACTTGCTAGCGTATAGCTGATTATAGTTCTAGGTCTTTCTCCACTAATTCCCGATTAGCGTCGCTTAGGTATCGTGGTCGTCGCCGATTAATCTAACGGCTTATCTAGGTTATAGCCTTTAAGAACTCTTTATCTAGATTAAGGCCGTATATGATCTCTTATAAGCTAGTATGCCGACGGGGACGATAATATTTAATAAACGTCCTACTAGTGGCGTGGGCTATAATCATATTACGCTATACTTCACTAACGAAACCTAGATAAAAGACTTAGTCTACCTATCTAGAGAAAACTTAGGGATATATAGGCCACTCACCACTCTTATCGAGTAAATCACCTCCTCCGTATCGGAATTAGTGAGAGAAAAAATGATTAAGGAAGCTATATATCTCACTAGATATCCTAAGCTATACGTCGAGTGTGCTTCTATTTATTAGTGTCTCCCACAAAATATAGGGCTAGCTATAGATTACCTCGACCTTCGAGAAGATATAGTAATTATCTATCTCTTTCTTTAAGGGAAGTAGCATTTCCTATCGACCACCCTCGATAAGTAGTCTCCGAAGGTCTTCTATCGATATTAAGTGAGGCGCTTTAAAGGCGTGGATATAAAATAATATAATAAAGAGTAGGACATACGGGCTAAAGATAAGTGATACGCCGTAGATAATTTTAGGTAGCGCGAACGTGTTACTAGGTAATATCGATCAGTTAGTCTAATTATAGCAAATAAGTGACTCGGGTGCTACCTATAGCTTCGATATGCCCAGGACGCTTTTTATAAACTAGGGCTCGAGTTCGATCATCGGCTTAGGAGGTCCTCCGTGCGGATCCTACTAGAGTGATATTTGTAAATGCTTGAACTAAAGGTCAAGCATTACCTATTTTCGGTTGATAGTAAATAACCTAATAGTGTTATATAGATATAGGATAATACGCTAAAACCCCAAGTGGAATCGCTTCTCCTGTGTTTAAAGGATTGTCTCGTTAAATAGAATCATATCTTCGATATATACTAGGACATTTACGCGCGGTTATTTATCCAGACCGCGCTTATCCACCAAGTATCTCATGCCCTATTAATCTTCGTTAGCGCAAGCCTCCTACAGACGATTGGGAGGGGGGGTCGAAAACAAACCGTGCGAACAGCCTCGCCTATCTCTTTACTTATCTCGGTTTTAGTAACTCGCTAGTAGTAAATTCGGAAGTACTTCCAATCCGCTTTAAGGGCGCTGGCCTTTATATAGCCTTTCTAACGGCGACCATCGGGACTATACTCTAGCTTCAGACACCAATTGAGAAATCGATATATATCATTTAGTGACGCCTCACGTAGTGTATCCTCTATAACCCCCCACTTATGATTAGTGGATGGTTCTATTGCTTTCATTTGGTAGTACCTAAAATGAGGTAAGTCGGTCAGTTAATATTAATATAGTATAAGCTTTTAACGATATCCTAATCACTTACCAAGCCCAACGCTCTTTTAGTCGAAGTTTTAACTTCTTTGTTTTATTGGATCGGCTGTAATCCTCTGGTACTTGGGCCAGGTCCTTATCCGTGTCATTATCGGGCACTTAGTATCGGGCCTAGTGGACATGTTCCACATTCGATAGGTCTGTTAGTAACGATTTTATGATCAGTCTTAGAGGAATTGGGCTCGAACGGTCTATTATTATCGGTATCGATGGGAGAGGTATAAGAGGATTCGCTCGTGATTCCGTGGTTACTAGTATTAGGCGTCCTCCGACGATATATAGCTAATCAATTTCGCCGAGCGTGCGAAGGAACTACCTCGGAGCTCGAGATATATTAACGTACGACACGACTAAATAGAAGAAAGTATAACGGAAGATCAGAGGGAGATTTTTGGAGTGGTATTTGAGTCGAAATAAGGATAGTGTTGGACGGAGAATAGGTGGGAAGGGGATATTTATAGCCATAGCGGCTAGGAGCTAGCCAGAGTGTAGCTGGCATGGTGCTGAAGGAGGCTATTTTCGGCGCCCCCCTCCCTAGTAGGCGTGGTGGAGCTACTAATGAGCCCTTAGGGAACCAAGGATGTTAGCGCGCACGAAATGGCAGCCTGAGGTATGAAGTGGTGAGTGGTGTGGTGCGTGGTCGAAGGAGGCGGGAGCGTGGCGGAGGGAGGTTGCTGAAAGACGGCCATTTTCGGCCTCACCTGCGGCCGAAAAAGGCAGCCAAATAGCAAAACGCAATTCTTATCTAGAAGAATAGTGATTCTTATATTATAGAGTGTACTATATTATTATATACTAGTTATACTATCGGTAATAGTCCTACCTAGTCGTCTTACTAGTAGTTTATATAGTGCCGTAGGTACTATTTTAACATCTAGTTCACTCTTTCTATTTGCCCATTAGTTTATAGATAGTATATAGTAGAGAGTCTAAGCTTAATACCTATTTAATCTGTAAATGATTGCTATATCTTCAATATAAATAACTTGTCTCTATCTAATATAATCTTACTCGGTATTCTGTGGTTTACGACCATATATTATAGCACGATATTCGCCATTTGATCGGCGTTAATAGTTTCTATAGTCGGAATCATATAGGCGTACTTTATGAGCTTATCGACTATAACTATAATCATATCGTGTCCCTCTAAGACTAGTAGCTTTATGATGAAGTCTATAGTGATCTATTCCTAAGGGTGGGATAGCGTCTTAGATAGCTATAGTTCCCTATAAGGTGCGTGTCGTGCTAGCTTATTCCTTTAGCACGTGTCGCATCCTCTGATATAGAATCGGACCTTTTAATATATATTCAGAAAGTAATAGTTTCGCGAAATCTATTTGATGGTTTTTTCTACCCCTATATATCCGTGTGTGATATCGTCGTGATATTTTTTGATCACTTCGTTTTTTAGTTTTGATAGGATATATATCAATCTGTGTATAAGGAATAATCCATTGTTATCTAGGGTGAGTTTGTCGCCCGTTCCGGCAAGATATTGGATTGCGTCTCCCTTTAATTCATCCTTGATCCGTTGTAGTAGGTCGTCGTCCTTGACCTCAGACCTCAGTCCGGCTTCGAAGTACGGAATGTACGCTCTATCGGGCAGATCCAGGTAAGAGATAATCTGCAAGAATTCAGAGGTGTAGCTCGAAGTAGAGGTGGTCTATCGGATTCGTTATAGCTTTTTCTCAGCTATTCTTACCGTATTAATATCTCCGAACGTATTCTCGAGATATTCTTAGAAGTTACGGTATTCGCTGAAGATACTTGTTATGGTCGCCGACCATTCTTTAGTTTTCTTTCTATAGTAATCGCGGATATATGGTTCGAACTAGTCCTATGCTTAGCCGTGTAAGTAGGTTGATATAAAGATCACCTTACCGGCTTCGTTAGGTATCTTGGTACTATTTATATCTAGGTGTATATCTATCTAAGTGAGGAATCCTCGAAGCTTAGTTCGATTTCCCTTAAAGAACTTAGCCTTAGGTAGTCGTAGTGCCTAGACTACGCTAATAGGTGTAGAGGCGATGACCTAAGTCTTAATCTACTTAAGGTACTCGTCGACCTCGCCGAACTTAGTGCTACTTTTTTCACCGAAGTTAGTAAGTTGATCTATAATCTTCTTAATATTATACTTAAGTTCGCTAATTTTCTTTTTCTACTTAGCGATAGTGTTATCTCGCTCGATATTAGAGTTAGGCTCTTCTTAAGGCGGAGTAGCCTATTCCCTAGTGGGCTTCTTACCCGAACCGACGTGAGATATATTACTATTTAGTGACTGGAAACTTAATTCGAGACGGTCTTTAATATGTTACGCACTACTAACTAGTTATAGTTAGGTTAGAAGGTTTCTAGGTTATACTTGCCTTATACTTCTTAGGTTTCTAATGTTAACGATCTATACTCTTAACCGTACTATTGCCTAATAGGCCTTACTATAGGATAGGTCCTATTAAGGTATCGAGGAACGATACTAGGTAGAGCGCCGAGTAGATCTATACTAGAGTATTAGTCTACTCGTGAGTGTTATCAAGTTATAATCAAGTTAAAGAGTCACTAAAGTTCTAAAGGTATATATAAGTAATAATATATGATTAAAGACGAAGAACTAAACTAGATATATAAATGAGTGTCCTTATATATCCCTAAGTTCTTCCTATATAGAATGGTAGATTATAGATAAGTAGAATCGCCTTAGTAGATTCTACTAGTCTACCGTTGACTATTCTACTACTTATATGATCACGTGATGGCTTCCGTTAGTGGTAGAGGTTTGCTAGTCCATATAGGTATATATATACCGGATATCCTCTAGAAGTGGGTCCTACTTAGGGCTGATCATGCTCTTACTCACTAAGCATGATCACGGTTTCTCTTTTCCCTGATCACCCGGGTATCCTAGAGTATAGGATGGTGCACGTGATCTGATGATAGATCGTTCGGTTGGCTCTCGGTGGCCCATCAGTAGTTGCGGTCCCCACAACTGATTGGTGACTAGCATGTCCGTAACAATACGGCGAAAGTAACTACTAGGCTAGCGTAATTTCTTACTAACCCCGGTCCTCAATATTATGAAGCGGTAGATAGAGTTATTTCTTACCTCTATACTACCCGGAACCTAGCAATTAAGTATAGTGCTAGAGTAGCAAGTGCCGGAATAGACTCGGTATAATTTATAAGTGATGCCTCGTATAGGGATCACCCTAACAGAAAGAGCTTAGTAGGCTATATTTGCTAGGTATACGGGGGTCTAGTTAACTAGAAAGCTAGCAAGCAACCCACCGTAACAACTTTAACTACCGAAGCAGAGCTTCTTGGCCTATTAGAGGTAGGAAAGTAGCTTTAATAGTGGCGTCGACTCCTTGATCACCTTGGCTTTATCCCCTCCTACGATATGACAATCGATTATGATAACGAGAGAACGATTAGCTTGTTAATAAGCGAGGACACGGCGTTTAAAACGAAGCTTCGACACGTTGATATTTATCGCCATTGGTTGAGATAGGAGGTTAGAGAGGGACGCATTCAGGTGAAATGGGTTCCAACGGCGAGTTGTTACGCACTGCTAACTGGTCACAGTTAGGTTAGAAGGTTTCCAGGTTATACTTGCCTTATGCTTCTCAGGTTTCCAACGTCAACGATCTGTACTCTCAACCGTACTGTTGCCTAACAGGCCTTACTGCAGGATAGGTCCTATTGAGGTATCGAGGAACGATGCCAGGTAGAGCGCCGAGTAGATCTATACCGGAGTATTGGTCTGCTCGTGAGTGTTGTCAAGTTATAATCAAGTTAAAGAGTCACTGAAGTTCCAAAGGTATACACAAGTAACAATGTATGATTGAAGACGAAGAACTAAACTAGATATATGAATGAGTGTCCTTATATATCCCTGAGTTCTTCCTGTGTAGAATGGTAGATCGTAGATGAGTAGAATTGCCTTGGCAGATTCTACTAGTCTACCGTCGACCGTTCTACTACTTATATGATCACGTGGTGATTGCCTAATCGTGGTGGTAGAGGTTTGCTAGTCCATATAGTAACATATGTACCGGATATCCTCTAGAAGTGGGTCCTACTTAGGGCTGATCATACTCTTGCTCACTAAGTATGATCACGGTTTCTCTTTTCCCTAAACACCCGGGTATCCCAGAGTATAGGATGGTGCACGTGATCTGATAACAGATCGTTCGGTTAGCTCTTAGTGGCCCATTAGTAGTTACGGTCCCTATAACTGATTGGTGACTAGTATATCCGTAATATCACCTCCCCTCTTCCTAGGAGTTTCGTCCCCGAGACTTATAAATCTGCGGTTCCCCCTTAGGTAGGTGGTGGATTTTTCTTTTCTTAAAATAATGCGTCCTCGTCATACCTAAATATAAGGCTGACTCCGTTTCTAAGCTTACTCCCAGACTTCCTTCTGATTCCTCCGACGCTCACTAACGTCAAGCAACCTATATTGAGGATAATAGTTTTACCACCGCCATTTCTTACGATCACTATAAAACGGCTAGTGTGGCTTGCTTGATGGATTAGTCTCGTCGTTATTCGAAGTGTGCGTCTTACACTCGTGCCGGTCGTATATATAAGCGTGACTTCCACACTAGTTAGGAGTGGGATTTGTTACGTCGTGCCGAAGATAAACTTTCTTCCGACCTTAAAATGAATGAAAATGAACTCGATTTATTAGAACCCGAGTTAGGTGAATTGTAGGCTCGTCTCGCAGAGCTATATTAGTAAGTGTTAAATAAACAAAAATAATATCAGGAAACCATGTCGCGATAGCGTCGGCTGCGAAAGCAGATGGCTTTCCTAAAGCAAAAGGGTTTCAAAATATCAGAATATAACGCGGAACTTCTTCAAATTCTCGATGAAAAATAAACGTCCCTAGAGCAGTCCTCTTCCTCTGCCCTTAACTTCGAGCAGCTCGCTACTACTACTAAGCATCCGAACTTTGATTAGATACTAGCGGAGATTGCTAATCTTCCGGTGTCTTTCTGGGACGGCCCGGCTTTCTCCGCTACTAGTGTTAGTGGAACTATTGAACTAGCTAGGGGTAGCCCCTTAGGTTCTCGATAGGTTCCTATATGTTCTCAGAGGTATCGTACCCCTTCTATCTCACTAAGTAGTGAGGCTTTCCGTTTATTCGTTTCATTTCTAGAATTTCCTTAACCTTATATTCGTTTTCGGTTTCTTCCTCTATTTCTACATTTATCGCGAGTTTAGCGTTATTTAGTGCGGGTTCGAGTAACGAGATATAGAACACTAGGTGGAGTTTTTACATGCTTTCCGGTAGCTTCAAGCGATAATTGACTGGTCCCAATTTTTCTTTAATTTCGAATGGTCCTAATCGTAGATGGTCCAATTTATTACTAGGTCGCTTGGTTTTGATGTTACGGCGTAAAAGATAAACCTTTTCCCCCCTCTTTAGGTTAGGTCCCTCTTGGTGTTATTGGTCGTAGTACTTTTTTATACGTATGTTGACGAAGTTAATGTCTC